ATTCTCTCTCTCTCCCTCATTCTCTCTCTCTCTCTCTCTCTCTCTCTCTCTCTCTCTCTCTCTCTCTCTCTCTCTCTCTCTCTCTCTCTCTCTCTCTCTCTCTCTCTCTCTCTCTCTCTCTCTCTCTCTCTCTCTCTCTCTCTCTCTCTCTCTCTCTCTCTCTCTCTCTCTCTCTCTCTCTCTCTCTCTCTCTCTCTCTCTCTCTCTCTCTCTCTCTCTCTCATTCACACACACACGCACACACACGCAAGCGCTCTCTCGATCTCGTCGGTCGTGGAGCAGCTCGTGACAGCATATCTCAGGCGTAGATCGATACCCGAACCAGTCTCCAACTTGTGGGGCGGGGTGTGACAAGAGCTACGGGGGAGCAGGCGCAAGGTTGTACCGCAACCATGTCGGGTGCCGCTGCGTCGCTGTACGGGGCGTATGATACACTGCAAAGCCTGGAGGCCTCAAACGAGGCTGTGGAACAGGCGCTCGAGGACTTGATCCAGGCCAGCGAGAACGAGGACGTGCGCGTTCGCCGCCTCGTGGCGGGGTTTCTTGCCCAAAACGGCGCTCGCAGTGAAGCCAAGCAAGAGGCCGTTGCCACTGCCTTTGAACGTCTCCTCAACGATGCCAACAGCGGCGTACGGTTTCCTCACGCATCCCCATTTCTGTCAATCACCTCCGTGGTGCCTCACGTCCGTACTTGATGGTACCGGTTTGCGGGACAGGTGGCTAGTGAGGCACGCAGCCAGCTTCGTTTGATTCGAGGCCAACACCATGTCAGCTTGGCCATGCTCCCTCGCCTGCTGCGCCAGACGCCCCTGCCCAGTACGCATGCCGCCCACAAACTCGCAGCTGGCGGATCAACATGAATCCAAACCTCACTCCTTGGCACCCCTTGACAGCCGATTCTGTTCTGGCCGTGGCCAAAGGTCACCCGCAACGTACGTGAGAGCGGAGTGTCTTGTACAGGTACCCATGATGGCGAACCCGCCAGCGCTAACTCTTTGGCCCGTGCGCAGGCTTTTTCGTGGAGTTGGCCTCACTCATGCCACAATGCGAGGACGAGGCGCGCCGGACCGAGCTATTGACATTGACGTGCCAATTCGCCAGCACTCAGCACGATCTTTTGGCGGATGCACCTGCTGCTGAGTCCGCCGCTGCCACCTGTCTTTTCAAGGTGCTTGATCCCTGCCGTTGATGGTGTCCCCACGAGCAGCATGCTCCGGCCGACCTCACGGGCAGTGTGGGTTGCAGCTTTTGGAAGACGTGAGTCGTGAAGAGTTTGAAAAACTTTTTGCCGTGCTCAAGAGCCTCAAAATCTATCAGCAACAGACCAAGGCTGAGGTAGGGCTACATGGGTGCTCCTGCCGGCTATGCATCGCTTTGACGGCCGCCAGCCCGGGCCGCCCCCTAGCCAGCGGAGCCTCTTCACCCTTCTGATGCAACGTGTCTGCCTTCTGCCCCCATACCAGGAGCTTTTGACCTACTTGTTCGACCTCTCCGAAGCCAACAACGTTGATGTGCGTGTTGTACTCCATATCCGTGGGTGTTGGCCAATGTCATGTGTGCACAAGGTCGCCTCATGGCCAGCCTGATTTGCTCGATAGCCTACCAACGAAGAGAGCCTCGACTTTTTCCTTCCTTGCTTACAACAGGCCACAGATCTGCTCGAGGTGAGGAATAAAAAACCATAGCGGAACGATGAGACTGCAACACAACATGCTTGCATTGCCATTGCCCTGTCGCTGATGTTGCCTGAAACTCGTTTATGTGCCGCGCAGCGTGGTGCAGTGGGCACGGCCTTCTTCCACGTGTTGGAAACCAAGCTGCTGCCCAAATATCGTGATCTGCCCGATGCCTTCCGCGTACCACTACTCAAGACCACAGCTGAAGCCTGCAGTACGCCAGGCCTCATCCCCGAGGCAGCCGGCACATTGGGTCCCGTCGTGCTTGGCCTGGCTGTGGTACGTTACAAGCTCAGCGGGCATGGGCTGGGCTGCAAATCTGATTTACAGACCTGCCTTTGGCGCTCACACGCACCCGATGCACACTAGGCCGCTCTTCCCGCTGTGTCGGCCAGTGAGGCAGGGGACGGTGACGAGCAATCAGTCGAGGCCACCAAGGGCACGGAGCAAGAGTCAGAGCAAGAGCACGAGCAAGAGGCGGCGCCCAAGGCAAGCTCGCCGCCGGCTGCTGCTGAGGATATCAACTACACTGAGCTGGAATGCCTCTTGAGCATGCTTCATAGTTGCAACCTCAAGGTCAGACTTGGCTCGCACAGATGGTGGTTGGCAACTGTAGCCGGCGCGCACCGAGCAGTCAGCGCCACCGGCTAGGTCGGCTCACGGGTGGTGCCACGTTGCATCGGCTAGCGCTTCGATCTGGACGGCGCCGATAAGCAAGATGTGTTGAATGGATTGGATGTGGTGATTGCGCGCACAACTGCTCACCTCAAAGGAGTGTCTCAGACACTGCGAATGAAGGAAGCTCTGCCCGATAAGTGAGTGCCCTGCACGCTGGCGTTCGCGGCCCATATTTGCATCCAAACATCTTACCACCTGTGCTTGGCTTGGATGATACAACTTTGGGTGTGCAGGACGGAGGCTGATCAGCGCCAGATTCAACAGCTACGAACGGCTCTGGGCACGGTTAAAAACATTCGATTGCTGCGTGCTGCCCTGGATGATCCAGAAAAGGTGACGCAGCCCATCTTGTTGTCCTGGACTGCAGCTGCGCGCAAAGCCGTCCGGCCTGTACTGGGGTGAGTCTTGTGTATTTTTCTGACAGGGCTGGATAACTTGCTGGGCGAGCATCGTGCTCATCTTGAGCCCTGGCTCCTGTGTCCCCGTGGTGCAGGAAGCGCCCCAACAACAACCGCCCCCGTGTTCGTGGCCGCGGGGGTGACGCATCCCAGGGCGTGCTGGCTCGTCAAGGGGGCAAATCAAGGGCCAATGCCGGCAAGCGCAGTGCACACCAAGGTAGGGTCGCGTTGCAGGCGCCGGCTGTGTCTACGGTTTGTTCAAATGACCCTGGCTGTGCTGGGCTAGCTGGCTTCTACGAGGCTCCGCGAGGCAAGGTTGAGGCCGAGGCGGATTCGAAGCGCGCCAAGAGCGGTGGCCGAAATCGCCGCCGCAACAACAAGGGGGCACGCAACGGCAGGGGAGCCCGACAACCCAATGGTGGCGGCAACGGCAGCAGTGGGCGCATTGTGATGCGACAATAGAGTGCCCTGGTTTGGAGGGGCTTTCCGCACAGATGCCTCGCCACACCATACATGTCTTGTAGCGACCGTTGCGCTGTTTGGCTTTGGCTTTGGTTTTGTTTTGTTTTGTTGTTTGGATTTTGGATTTGAGCATTTGAGTTTCCATCCTATCCATGCCAAGAGCCGCCTTGGCCCGTCCGCCAAGGCCCCTGCAACGGGCCCCGACACCACCAGCCAAGCAACCAGTCGCGCGCGAGTTTCCATAACATCACCAGCGCGCCCTTGGTTCTGCAGCAACACTGACACATGGTAGCTGCTAGTGTGATTTCAGTCACACTCTTGTCACGGATCTTGACAGAATCAAACGATTACGGCAAAGGCCAAAAAAAAAATTCATCTTCACGTGTTACATGTAACTGCTACTACTACGGCTACATGCTGCTTGTAGATACGGCAGCCGGGTGTGCAAAAGGCAAACCTCAAGAACTTAAAAGGTACAAAGGCAATGTGCTTGGTCAATGGAGCGACGTCCGTCCTCCTGCTGGTACAGGAGCCCCCCGGCCCGGGGGCCATCATCCTCCATGTCGTGACTCGTGGTTCACCGTTTTGACAGCATATACATGTGCGTGTGTTTGAGAAAAAGAAGCGGCATCTCTCTGCTTTCCATGCCACTTGGAGTTGTCTCTCTGCCTCATGTTGACGACTCGATGCGGTTCTCTGAAATATGACAACTGATTGTACGCATCTCTACATTTCGACTCTATTTCCTATACATGTGGCCTTGCTGCTTTGCGCAATCTCTGATCGTATCGCTCATCTCATGCTCCTCTCTGCCCCACACACAGAGCCTCAAGCCACTCTCTTCCGCTCTGGCTCGTGTTGCTCCTCTCTCTCATGCTTGTGCACACACCGATCAACGGCATTTTCTTGTTCTCCATTTGGCAGCGCGGGAGAGGGCGTGATCACTCTCATTCTTAGCGCGCGCTTGGCCTTGGGTGGGGCGTGTAAAACGTTGTGGGCGGGTAAGTCATGCCAGAACACTGGCACTGTACGTTGGGCCTCCATTCCAGCACATGTGCACAGACCGGCGGGCTCAAGTTTTGAGACACATGGCGAGACAGCCTTGAGCTTGCAGCCAGAAGAAGTTTCCCTGCCCTGGTGGCCTCTGCCTGGCCCTGGCTACACATGCGCATATACACGCGTGTGTTTTTGAATGGGGCCGCTGGGGGGATAAGGAGTGTCACAGCCCATTTGAAGACCACTTGTCTCCCTCAAGCCGTCCTGTGATACGTCGTCCCCTCCAGACTCTCAAGTCGCCGGCTTTGTGTCGTCCTCTCACGCTTGGACATTCCTGCTCGCCTCAAACTTAGACCCACGAAACTGGTCAACATGGCGAATGACCGCGAGCCCCTGCTGGCTGGCGGCTCGCAGTCGGTCAACCATGGCGCTGTCGCCTCGACGGGTGACGATGTCGAACAGGCCCCGCTCTCCGCTGCAGGCAACGTCAAGAACCAGCTGGGCACAATCAACGGCGCGTACGTCTGATCGAACCACGCCGCTGCCCCGCCATCGTCCCCAACTTCTGCCTTCATCCCGTGCCTTGCTTGGCCATGACCATGACCCTTCCCGTTGTGCCCTGTTTGATAGCTATGTCCCGTGCTTGCTCAACATCATGGGCATTGTTCTCTTTTTGCGACTCTCCTGGGCCACCGGCGAAGCCGGTGCTCTTGTTACCCTGGCCATTCTGGCCGTCTCTGGCTTTCAGGCCATCCTGACCGTCCTGAGCCTTAGCGCCCTGGTCACCAACGGTGTCATGAGCTCGGGTGGTAGCTACTACATGATTAGGTGCGCTGTTACTGCCTTCTCGCCGGCACCTTATATCGCCCCATCCAGCCTTATCATACATACGCCAGACCACACGCTTGAACGATCGCCTTTGACGTGGTTCTCGTTGTGACGCAGTCGCTGCTTGGGCCCGGAGTTTGGTGGAGCCATTGGCGTCCTGTTTTACAGCGCCTACGCCATGGGTGTCTCCTTTTATTCCATTGGTTTTGCCACTGCCGTGCAAACCACCTTCATGCCCGATGCGGAAAGTCCCGAGTGGACCATCCGTTGGGTCGGCTCCTGTGGGCTTTTCTTTGTCCTGCTGGTCTCACTCAAGGGCGCCGACTTTTTCGCCAAGTTTAACGTCTTTTTCTTCTTGGTTTGTGCACGCCACACCCTGTCTTTCGCCTGTGTACTGTTCTCCCGGTGCGTGAACAGCGTTGTTGTAACCTGCACTTTTGCCTTTGGGCGATTAGATCCAATTCCTGGCCATTTTGGTTGGCCTCGTCTCTTTCTGGATCCCGCATACCTTCACGAGCCAGATCACCAATAGCAACAACGGCACCACCTTTGAGGCCCGCGCCAAGTTTCCTGATCACCTGTCCTCAAACCTCATGCCTGACTACACCGTCAGCGCCTCGTGCCTCAATCGTGAGTCAACCTTGCCTGGCAACAAATTACCAAATCTCAGATTGAGATGATTGACCATGGCCACCTGACCGTGTCGAGCCACGTGTTGGTTGAAATGCTTGATGTCGGACTGTCCTCATCCACGTTCTTTTCCCCCACGCTCTTCCCATGCTTTCTTGTCACAGAAAAATGCGAGTTTCACACCATCTTTGCCCTTCTCTTCCCCATGGTGACGGGTATCATGGAAGGCGCCAACCTCTCGGGTGATCTCAAGGACCCCGCTCACAGCATTCCCCTGGGTAATTTCCGCAGCCCGCAAGCCCACCGGCCCTAGCGCCCGTCACCACTGAAAGTGCCGCACATTTATTTTACTGGTACTCATGGCCCGCGGGGGCATTGCAACCTGGCACCCATAGGCACGCTTTCTGCTTTGGCCACTGCTCTCGTGTTTTATACGGGCCTGATCCTCTCCTTTGCTGGCAGCTTCACCCGCCACACGCTGCATGTTGATCAAAACGTCTTTCAAAACGCCACCATGCCCTCTCGCTATGTGGTTGTGGTGGGCATCTTGATTTCTGCCATCAGCTCCGCCCTGGGTTCGCTCTTCGGCGGCAGCCGTGTGCTGCAGGCCATGGCTCGAGATGACCTCTTCTCCATTATGAAGCCCTTTAAGTATGGCACGCCCCACGGTGATGAGCCGCGCGTGGCTGTCCTGTTCACGTGGTTTGTGGCCCAAGTATGTCTGTTTTTTTGCGCTGGTTTCAATTTCTCGCCGCGCGTAGTCCCCAATGCCCGTTGACTGAATTTTTCCTTGTCGGCGTCTAGTGCTGCGTGATGATCGGTGACCTCGACGTGGTGGCCCCCATCGAGACCTCGTTTTTCTGCCTTTCCTACGCGGTTGTCAACTTGGCCTGCTTCTTTCTCTCAGCCATGGAGGCCCCTAACTTCCGGTAGGGCTTGCGTGCACCTGCTCTTGACGCGTTTGGCACAACAGGGCGCCGGTATCTTCTCCTGTCATTTCCTCTCACCTTACTTTTACCGTGCTTGCAAATTTGATAGACCTCGCTTCAAATATTACTCGTGGCAGACAGCTCTGCTGGGCGCCCTTGCAAATTTGGCCGTCATGGTGTACCTGCAATGGATCTATGCCCTTATCACACTTGGTGTCATGGCTGCCATTTATGTGTATTTGACCCAGTATGGTCCCGTTACCGAATGGGGTGACATCAGCAACGAACTCATCTTCCATCAGGTCCGCAAGTATCTCTTGCGCATGGAGGCCACCAAGGCTGCCCCCTCCAAGTTCTGGAAGCCCAACCTTTTGATTCTTGTCGACAACTGTGACACGGGCCTGCTGGCCTTTTGCAACAGCGTCAAGAAAGGTGGCTTGATGGTCCTGGCTCAAGTTATTGTGGGCTCTTTTGACGTGTACCACCGCGTGGCCGACACTCTTCGCCTCTACTGGGGCGAATTCGTGCGTGATGCAAAACTCAAGGTATGTGTGCTTTGCCACATGATGCAGTGGCCGCACCCGTGGCATGCGCGTCCAATAGTCTTATGTTTGATCGCACCGGCTCATTTTTGACCTTGACCCGCGGCAGGCCTTTGTTCACACTACTTGCGCCGAGGATGCGCGCGCTGCGTACCGCGTTCTTATCTCCGCCTCTGGTCTGGGTGGCCTGTCGATCAACACTGGTGAGCAATTGCAACTTGTCCTCTGGCTCTAGTGGCGCTTCTCAGCGTCGTGCGAGTGAGAACTGCCGTCGTGGAATCAGGCTCATCTTGCTTGTTTGGCAGTGGTCATGCCCTTTTATGAGATTTCCGGCTTGACAACCAACCGCACGGAGGCTGAGCTTCAGCGCAGCAACCGTCTTCAGTACACCGACCTGCAACAGAAGCTACGCAAGCAGTTTATCGAGCCCGATGAGTTTGATCTGGGCAGGTATGCTCGTGGGCGCGTCCCTGGCTTGTTGTTTTCAAACACTTGAGCACACGCCCATTTTGCCATCACCACTCATCTGTCAAGTTTTTGTGGCCCGTTGTCGTATCCACAGCTGTAACCTGCCCGTGGCCGACGCGGCAGAGTACTGCGGCATCATGCAGGACGCCATCATGATGCAAAAGAATGTCATTGTGGGTCGCAACTTCTCGACTGGTCTGCGTGGCCACAAGGGGCGCCTCTACACCCACACGAAGTAAGAGCGTGAATGGTGCATCTTGACACCGTGCCTTGCGTGTGTCTCATACCTCAATCGTGCTGCCCAATGCCCGATCTTCTTTTGATAGTGAGCGTCCCAACGTTGACATCTGGATTTGGGGTGACTGGTCTATCGCCGCGTAAGTTTCTTTTTTTTTTTTTTTTTTTAATGTTTATCCCCCTCTTGTCCACTGACGTTGTGGCGTGTTGGGTCGTGTCAAGCAAGAGTTGGCCTGTTTGAATCTTATATATCATGTGGTCCGACTGCACTTTCTCATAGGGGTGACGGCAGCTGGGACGCCCGCATGGTGTTGAGTGGTGGTGGTAGCACCAACCTCAACCAAAAGGATTTGGCAAGCCGTCGTCAAACGCGTGAAATGGACTCACTGGCAGAGGCTCGCAATGACATTGAGCTTGAGCGCATCATGGCCCTCCTTCTGCAGTTGGGCTACGTATGTGACTGCATGTTTTGTTTGTTTGTCTATTTTGTGTTTTGCGTTTGTTGTGACGCTCATTTGTTTTCCTTTTCTCACTCTGTCCCGCCCCTGCAGCTGTTTTCGCGCGGTCGCATCGGTCCTGGTGGCATGCGCAAAAACCGCAAGCTTCACCGCCTGCGCATCTTCCATATTCTCGGCACAACTGGCACCGACATTGAAGCACAAATTGCGGTACGAGTCAGCTGCGGAGACATCGGACTGGCCATACTTGGACCACCACCGCCTCACCCCCGTTTCCAAATCATCATTAGGCATCGGAGGATCGCTTGACCAAGCTGTGCGACGAGGCGCGCATCCCCATTGAAGCTGAGAATATCAAGGTGCGTTTTTATCCTTGACAAAGGCTAGTCGCTTGATTGATTCATGTCCATTTTGCGTTGGCTCATGTTATTTGACAATGTGCCAGGTCGTGAGCTTGCCGACTTTGCGCGACTACGTGCCCGAGTACAAGAACTGGTGTCAGAGCAGCAGTCGTGAGGCCTTGGCTGACATGCCCATTGAGCTTCAAGCCCGCTGCCTCAATGCAGCCATCTCCCTCAACTCGGCTGACACCAGTCAGGTCTTCCTGCCCCTGTACCAGATGCCTGGTGGCAGTGACGTTGAAGAGTGCCAAGACTACCTGCGAAGCTTGTCTGAACTGACAAAGAACCTTCCACCTTGCGCCCTCGTGGCCGATGGTGGCGCCTCCGAAGTCATTTCGACTCAGATGTAGCGCAGTTTTGCTGTTCCTGTAGTTTTGTGCTGCATGTGTGCGACTGGTGTGAAGTGATTCGTCGACCTTCCTTTCATCTGTGTTTCGACACTCATTTTGCAGCTCAGTAGTGTGTCCTTTTTTGTTCATGCCATGCGAGTTGGCTCCTGCTAGGTGTCCTTGAATTTTGCTGGTCATCGAAACCGGTCTGCTTGGTATTATCTCGTCCAGGCTCGGCGAGGGTTGTCTTTGCGTCTCAACTTTTTATGTAGAGCTATAGACCGGGGGGAGCCTGACCTTCTCATGTTGTCTTAGAATTTCGAACTGTATCTGGTCTGTTTGGCTGTGGTTTGTTTAATTTGTGCAACGTGTCTTTTTTGCCGGTGCTGTGCAATTAATCAAAAAGTTTCCCATCAATGCATAACCAGATTCTTGTAAAACCGATCATGCACACGTCAGTTGATTTGAGGTTTGACAACCTCAAGCACAAGCCCCAGAGCATGATCTTAGCCTCAATGAGAAGCAACCGCCAGAACATTTCAACTCATGGACCAGCTGACATGACGCATGACCAAAAAAAAAAGCAAAAGCCAAGGAACACATCCCCGAAACCTATATCGCACAGCCCATGACCGGGACCCGAAGCGAGGTGGTTCGTGTCTACCAACAAGAAAGAACGGACAATCGAACAACATGAACATGGATGTCTGATTACTTTGCAGATTCCAGCTGTAGCCGGTCTATCGTTTTGTTCCTTAACACTTGCAAACCCCCACCAAATCATCGATTCGAAATTACATGTAAATGGAGAGAAAATTGTTACATTTCATTCAAGCCTGACAGCCCGACCAACGCATCCCCTTTGGTCGTATGAAAGCCTGGCTCTGTTATATTCTCACGCAGCCTCATCTTTCGGGGCAGGCATTGCATTCGTCGGAGTCACGTCCGCCTCGCTGGCTTTGTTGGCTGCCAATTCTTCGTCGTGCACCTTATTTTGAGCTACATCAGCAGTGGTCTCCTCCTTGTCGTCGTCTTCATCGTCGTCGTCATCGTCATCCTCGTCGTCATCTTCTGATTCTGGTCGGTTGCCTAGAATCTTTCCGGGACCCGCACGTCGAAAAGGGGTTGTGGTACTCGGTTTGGGCGCGCCCGAGGCCTCAGCGCCGGGTGCGATCGAGGGGATGGGCACGGTTGGAAGTGAAGAGGGTTGTGCTGGTCGTGTCGTCGAGTCTGCGGGACTTGAGTCATGGGAGTCATGGGATCCCGAAGCCGTGGCTTCGGGTGTGGCATGTGTATTCTGGAGAGCGGTACTGGCCTCCTCGTACTTGCGCTTATAATAGTTGATCTGAGCAGTCACCTGAGCGAGTTCACTCTTGAGCTGCCCGATCTGTTTGTTCTTCTCTCGTAAATCGTTGGAGGCTGCCAGAGCATTAGCCGCGGCGGCCTTCTCTTCAGCAGCCTTTTCGGCAGCGGACAGACGAGCCTCGGCAGCACGAACGTCACGCTTGGCATCGTTCTCGATCGTGGCGAGCTGGCTGGTCAAAGAACGAATTGTTTCGTCGCGGGCCAGCACCTCGCGACGTTCGGCATCCAAGAGGGATCGCACTTGTCGCGTCTCCGCTTGGGACGACTGCAATTCGTGTTCCAGGCGAGTAATGGTCGCTTGCTGAGCGGAGTTAGCTTGGCTCGTGGTACTGGCATGCCGATCTGCCTCGTTGCTACCGCCATTCATCGAATCTGCTTGATGTAGCAGGTCCTCCTGATGTTGTCGGAGCAGCTCAATCACTCGGGTGACGTTGCCCACCAAGGGGTTGGGTGCGACATTCTCAGAGCTCTAACAAACAGGGCGGGGTATGAGCAAGCAGGGTCATGGAATGGAGGACGAGTAGAGTGACCGTGAGTAGACTGCCCCCGGTTGGTAGGAGTAAGAGCTGTCCAGGGCACATGGACTCACCGAAGCGTTGGGAACAAGTTTCTTTCGTTTGCCTGCCGGTGCTTTGTTGCCGTTGGGGGTGCTTTTAGGGGTGGGGGAAGCGGCTGGCTTGCTGCTGGTAGAAGCGCGCCGTTTCACCGATCCTGGGCCGGTGGGCGTGGCCCCAGCGCCAGAGGTCAGTGTTGGCTTTGTCTGAATCTGGTGCGCTTCGCGTTGCTCCTCAAAACGAGTAACCGTGGCACGATTAATTTTCATCAAGCCTTCAGCCTTGACTGTCACGTCCTCCCGGCGACCGTAGCCGGGAAAGTGAGCGTTGTACCTGTCAAACCATGCGTGAATGAGTGAGTGCATGAATAAAAGGAGCAGACTCTCATCCGTCTCTGCCAGGTCCGAGGCTCGTACCAGTTGCCAGGTTTGACCTCGGTGACCACGGCAGGCCACCAGAAGCCATGCTTGTCCTGACAGTAAACTTGTTCACCATCCACATAATAGTCTGCGTCTCCAACCACAGGCTCTACATTGCCCTTGAGCGCATGCTATCGAGCCATGAAAAGGTCAGTCATGGTGCATACGCTCGCCAGAAACTGCAAAGAGCCACTAAAGGCGAGCGGCACGTACCGTCAAGAGCTCGAGCGCATCCGGCTGTGCAACGTCCAGGGGCGTGCGGCCCAATTCATTTTTAACATTGGCATCGGCGCCTGCCTTGAAGTACGCGGAAGGACGGCACAGGTGAGAGTGTGCACGACACATACAATCCGTTTGCTGATTCAGTCAGCCAACCTGCAATAGCATTTTACACATCAGTGGCTTGTTGGCGGCTGCAGCCACATGCAGCAGGGTGATGCCCGAGGACCCACTCAAGTTGGCGTCCAGACCATGCTCAAGCATAAGCTGCCGGGGCGGCACAGTGACATGAGCAGGACCGCCTTTGGAAGGACGGGGGCCAGTGGTCCCAGAACGGCTCCTGGAGGTTTCAAGCAGTCATCGAAGAGCGACAAAGCCAAAATACAGACCTGAAGGACACCGCTACGGTTCTTTTGAACGGCACGCCCCGCTGCTGTCCAGCCATCGCGGTCTGTCACGTCCGGCTTGATGCCCTCGGACAACCCGCGCTCCACCACGCCAAAGTCACCGGCAATCACAGCCTTGAAAAACTTGCTCACATCGATTTCCCCCGAACCTGCCATGACGCTTCGTAGCCAAGCCCCTCAAAAACCACCACCACCACTACCACCACCGTTCTCGCCGCCAGTGTCAAGTCCACACACACCACGCAGCCCGCGCCCCACACCCGCGCAACTCGATCACTCAATCACCTCTCCCTCTCCCTCTCTCACTTTTTTTTTTTTTTTTTTTTTTTGCTCTTGTGGTTCAGTGTGTGTTCGAGCTCTCGCGGATCTCGTGGAAGAGAATGTGTGACTTTATTCACACTTTCTCAGCGGCGTTGGCAACGTCCGTCTCTCTCTCTCTCTCTCTCATTCATCTCTCTCTCTCATTCATCTCTCTCTCTCAATCTCTCTCTCTCAATCTCTCTCTCTCTCTCTCTCTCTCTCTCTCTCTCTCTCTCTCTCACATTTTTTTTTTCTTTAGGTGCTCAGAGCTGCTGGGGCGCGAGGCGTGTCGGGCGGTAACGACAGGGGCGGTTGGCAGTGGGCATTTGAGCTTGCATTCGAGTGGGGTGGGGTGGGGTGGTGTTTGTTGCCATCTTCTTGTTGTGTTGAGGCCGAAGCCATGCCGCCGAAGAAAGGAGGAAAGAAGAAGGGCAAGGCGGGCAAGAAAAGCAAGGACAAGACACCCAAGATTGATCCTGAGGTGCAAAAGGCAGAAAAGCGCATCAATGAGAAGTATGGTGCCCGGCGTCAAGTCGCGGTCCGCTTGATCGGGGTGAGTGCTCGCCATGCTTTTCCTCGCTAGCACAACGCCCCTGCAGCTTGAGCTCGCAGTCATCCTCACTCCCGATATGCTCCCAGTGGGTTGATGTGGCGCGCCAATGGTTTCGCAGCAACCTGGCCGTGATTTTCGATGCCATTCGGGCTGCTGACGTAACAGGTAGGTTGGCAGGTCCTTGCGGATGTGTAACACCATACTTGCTCGATCCCCAGTCAAGCCAACGCTGGCAGGAGCTGACGCAGCTGTTGATCGTAGGGGCTGGACACCTAGATCCAATCGCCTTTTTAGATGTGCTGCAGAAGTGCCGATGCCCATTGGATCGTGAGCAGCAGGAGACGTTGACCATGGCCATCGATCTGCAAAAGAGCGGGCTTGTCGACTACTGCCAGGAGCCTGCCACCATCTTGTGCTATGGTGGGGGATTTATGGTACGCTGACTGGCTTGAGTCGCCGTACCGTGACACCGCACACTTGCTAAGTGCTGCACGCTGTGCTTGCCCGGTACGCCATCTCTGCCTTGCGCCCCTTAGGAAACCGTCAACAGAGGCCTCGAGCGCGTTATGGTGGCACACCGCCAGGAGCTGGCCGAAATTGATATGTCACATGCCGAAGAGCTGAACCTTCTCAAGGTGTGGTGTGCCGCCACTCACGGCCGCGTCCAAGACTTGCTCGCCTCCTACCATGCTCACCTTTTCGTGCCGGCCTCTGTCTCTGCTTTCTGTTTGTGTTTGCCCGCTTCTTCATGTCATCAGATGCTGGGTGTTGCTGGCTGGAAGGAGGCGCTCTCAGGCCAGCAAGGTGCTGCTGCTGCTCTGCTCAGTGCCCATCAGGGCAATCCAGGCCTCGAAGGAGAAGACGGGGAGGAGGTTGGGGACTTTGAGACACCCCTTGACGATGGGGAGGATGACGGCGATGATGACGGCGATGATGACGGCGACGGTGACGGCGATGGTGATGGCGAGGAAGATGACGGGGACGAGGATTGAGTCTCGGGAGTGACCTTGTATCTACAGCACAAAGAGCTGTACCCACATGTCAATCAAACAATAGATAATCGAAACTACAAATGGCTTTGGATATCAAAAATGACCACTATGCTGTTGCCTTTTTTTTTTTTTTTTTTTTTTTTTTTTTTTTTTTTTTTTTTTTTTTTTTCGCTGAATTGGGTTCGAGAGAGCTCTCGTTCCTAAACTGTCTGGCTGGCTGGAACAGAACAACAGGACTTGCCATTTGAAAGGGCAAGTCAGAATCACACGAGGACAATGACACAGAAAAAAGAAAACGCAAACGAGTTAAGGTTGTCAAACTACAACTACAGACATGGGAAATGGTCGAGGATGCCGTGACCTCTCGACAAGTCGCTTATGACACTGAAAAAAAAAGAACACACACACAAACACCAGCAAAGGGGGCTGGAGGTGAAGAAGTGGAGAGCAAGACAAAACAAGGCTCAGAAAAGACGGAAAAGAAAAAAAAAAAGAAAAACCGACTCGGGCCTTGAGGTCCATTCTCTGGCTTAATAGAGCTTGCGTAGCGAGCCAGGGTGGCGCGGTGAGGCCTCCCAGCGGGCCGAGGAGGTGCGCGATCGGTATCTACATTGATGGTTGCACGAGCGACAGGTGCAATGCAGGAGAAGATGAGTACCACGCACGCACGGCAGCCAGTCGTTGGTGCGTGTCGATAGCATACCGGGGTTTTTGTGTGTTTGGGAAGATCTTGCTGAGGTCGGGATCCTCAATGGCTGGGAAGATGGCGCTGGGGCTACGCTTGGACAAATGCTGCTTGTACAGAGCCGCTGTAAGCGCAGGCTTCTTGGCCCAAGTAGGAATGGGGCGCTTGGGGCTGTCATCATCATCGGTGGAATCATCGGAGCGCAGGCCAGAAATATCATAGTTGTCCGATGGCCGGCCCTCCACAGCTGCTGTTGCGCGTGGGCGAGCCGATCCGGACGCCGAACTAAGGCTCGTATTTGGTGTAGCATGCTTTGCGGGGCGTGGAAGTTCTGCCGGCTCACCATCGCTGATGCGGGTGTAGCCGTCCCGCTAGATAACATGACAGACACAGCACAGGGATCAAAGCCAGGGTGAGACGCGACCGGCTCGGGCACGATGCGCACCCACGCTGAAACAGCCTATTCATGGTAGCCTGCTGGAGGAGGCAAAACTTACTGCCGAGGCGCTACCGGTGCTGTAGTCAAGCAGACTGGCATTTTGACTATTTTGAGCTGCGTTTGCCGCAGTCGCCTTGGCCCGAGCAAGGGCACGGGCTTGCTCACGTCGCTTGGCCTCTTCTTGCTCCTCGCGCCGCTGCAGTTCCTGCTGCTCTCGGCGCCGTTGAGCCTCACGCTCGCGGCGTTGCTCCTCTTTTTGCATGCGGCGCTTCTGCTCCTCCTGTTCACGGCGCTTCTGCTCCTCCTGCTCGCGTCGCTCCTGCTCCTCCTGCTCGCGTCGCTCCTGCTCCTCCTGCTCGCGTCGCTCCTGGTCCTCCTGCTCGCGTCGCTCCTGCTCCTCTTGCTCGCGACGTTTCTGCTCCTCTTGCTCGCGACGTTTCTGCTCCCGCTCGCGGCGGATTTGAGCAGCACGTTCTGCTGCAGCTTGCTCTCGCTCACGTTCCAAGGCGGCTTCTTGCTCTTGAGCCTCGCGCTCTGCCGCAACAGCAGCTTCAGCTGCCGCAAGGGCAGCTGCGGCAGCCGCCGCATCCTTTTCCTCTTGTAATCGGCGAGCCTCAGCCAAGGCCGCCTCCTGCCGACGGCGTTCAGCCAGCTCACGCTCCTTGGCTTCACGCTGGGTCTTGAGCTCAGCCTCCTTGGCCAGGCGAGCTTCTTCTGCTTGGCGAGCGCGCTGTAATTGACAAGAATGGGGGTGAGCACTTGCAAAAGCAGATTCGAGTTATGCCTGTTGATCAAGCACAGAAGAGCATAGCACACACGATTTGGGGCCTCACCTCAGCCTCTTGCTGGCGACGACGCTGCTCCTCCTCACGTCGCAATTGTTCACGGCGTTGACGAGCCTGCTCGTGACGTTCAGTCTGAGCTTGTCGGCGTCGTTCGCGTTCGCGTTCCTTTTCCAGCTCCTTCTCACGCTGCATGCGAGCATGCTGCAGTGCCTTGACCTCGGGTTTGGGTTTGGCCGCAGGCACCTCAGCGCTGGGCTTGCGCAGGAAAGTGGTGGCTGAGCGTGCGATGTTGCCGCCACGCTTGGCCTTTTTGGCGCCGTCATCTGCTGTCGTAGTGTCTGTGCTGGTTGAGGAGGCAGAGCGGGCAGGGCGTGGCAGCTCTGGGTTGGTGTCTGCCTCCTCGTCCATGGCACTCATCACGGCCTTGGCTGGGGTGGGAAGAGCCACGTCTGCATCGTCGTTGTTGTCAAAGCTTGCCTTGGTGGCCAAGTCACGCTTCTGCAAGCCAAGCACATTCATGTAAGACTCGAGCCACGCGTCATGTGAAGAAACAAAAGTAACCGGCGGATCGGGAGAAGTTGAGATGCGGGTACAGACCATGGAGGCCCGCTTAGCACTGTTGCGTTTGGAGGCGGAGCTTTGCAGACGGGCCACCATCTCACGCACGCGTCGAGAGGGCGTGGCAAGAGCATGGGTGGTGTTTGGGCGATCAGGACGCATGCGAGGGGTGAATTGCCCGTTTTTCACAACTGTTGATGGTGTTTCCAAGGGCTGGTTGGGGGCTGGGGACACATAAGTCGTGTCAAGGGCTGAAGTTGGAGCTGGAGATGCGGGCGACTTGGAGTCGGAGGGGGATGCGGCGCCATTGGATGGCGACTTGGCTTGGCTCGCGGCTTCATCAGGAACGGGGGCCTCTACAGCGTCGTCGACAGTTTCGCCATCGGTCGCCTCAGGGCTTTGGTCCATCATAGAGTCAGCTTCGGAGTGGTCAAGTGCCGGAGCAGTATCAGAGCCGTCACCCTCGACATCTTCGGCAATCGACTCGAGCGCTGGCATGGATGCTTCCTCTCGCACAGGTGACATGCTAGCGGCACGGGGGGCAGGTTCGGCCTGTTTCTTGCTGTTGTCACCAGCCTTCTTGCCCTTGACCTCAGCCGGGGAAGCATCGGCATTCTGCTTGTCACCAAAGAGCAGACGAGAAGAAAAAGAAATGAGTTGTACCAGATGGTCATGCTTTGTTGGTAAGAGGAGGCATTGCCATGGGCACCGACCTTGTCAGCAAGGTGTCGGCGGGGCACGCGCTTGTTGTGCGATGGGGTTTTGGGCAACAGCACCACCTTCTGCGAAGAACCGTCTTTCAGATCGCTACAGGCAGGCCAGGGGGAATGCGGGCCAACAACACACAGAGTACAGTTTATGAGTTTGGGATGGACAAACAAATTGGGTGTGCAGCGTACGCGCGAGCCGAGGTCAGTGCACATGTTGGCAATTGCGGCGATGCAGACCTGGTCCAGGCATCGCGAACTGAGGGGACGAGCTCATCAAGCCAGGTGAAGTGTTGCGCGATGTTATCCTCAAACACCTGTAGCTGCTCAGTAGCCACCGTCTCGTAGGCATCGAGTAGGGTGGCCACGTTTTTCTGGGAACGAGCCGAGAGTGCTGCCATTGTTGCCGGTTCGCGCAGCTGAACGCGTCCGCGATTGCCGGAGTTGTCGATTTCAGTCGAGGAGTTGTGCGACACGGTAATGCAGGGCTGGCAACGCCCGGTCACTAGTAGTGTCAGTGATGAACACAGCCCACAACAGGCCAAAGAAGCGAGCGCCAAGAACGCTCTGCACGACAGATCCAAGCGCGCAACGAGAGCCAATGCGCGCCGTCTCTTGTGTCTGCGTTTGAAAAGACAGAAAACTGGACCCAGCTTTGATGAATTCAAGTGATTGGCGGGAAATTTGAATTTAATTATTTGAAGAGATACATCCGGAAAAATATGCTTTAAATGATAGCCATCATATGCCTGATAGTGGGAGGAGAGAGCGAGAGAGGTCACACACACACACACACACACACACACACACACACACACACACACACACACACACACACACACACACACACACACACACACACACACACACACACACACACACACACACACACACACACACACACACACAGTGTCAACCTCGTGGCATTTTCCTATTTCCCGTTTGATCTAAGCGTGGTAAGTGTTTGAGCCGAATGGCAGTGGCGCTGGAGGTTGTACCTCTGGCAGTCTTTGAGTTTTATTTTGTACATGTGGCTTGGCCAGGAGCTATAAGATGCCCCAAGTGGTGTTGGTCGAGCGCTTTCGCTGTGTTTGTTGTGTGTCTTCTTTACACACGGGTTGTGTGGGCGACAAGAAATGGCAGTGACGATAATTTTTTCCTTTTCTCTGATGGTTGCCACTGGTCGTTTTGATCAAATGCAACATCTTCGGATGAACTCTTTATGTCATAGTTACTCTTAGCCATGTTCTTGTCGTCCCAGCCTGCCATCAAACCGCTGCCGCCTCCCACGTGGTGCCGTATTTCAAATGACTTACACTATCTATGCCTTGCCGTGTCGTTGTAGATCTGGCTTCGACCATCCCAAGGCAGCCACCATCGGAAACCCTTGAGCTATCGTGCTTTCTATACTTGGGGAGATTCTCCCATTTCTCTTGCACCATGGGCGCGTTCAGCTTGAATAATTCAGCTTTAAATACTGCTTCTGCTTCATCCCCCCCCAAAGTTCCAAAACACCTTTGAAGAGAGAGACAGAGAGAGCGCGACGCTTGTTCTGTTTTATGGATTTATTGCCTTTTTCCCTCTTTGATGAGCGTGTATCGCTTCAGCGAACATCTGGGACCATAAGAGTCAAAGCGGGCACGCATAGTATTGGCGACCTCGACCCATGCAGCCACAAACACGCACACACCTACACACACGCACGCACATAACATCAACGGATATTGGAGCACAACCTATTTGCACGACTACTCAGAGGCTGCGACGGCCGCCTGCAGCTCGCCGGTGGCCTCACGCACGGGCTCCAGCAGCTCCATGAGGGCACCTGCATTCGGTCCCGCGTCGGCCACCACACCATTCGTCATGAGTCTCCGCCAAACGAGAAGCAAGGGCATGACTCAACCAGATCAGCGACAAGGGAAACACGCCCGGGCCTTACCCGTGTTAGCATCGGGCAAAGCAATGGCCGAGACAACGATGGCACCGAGGGCAAAGTGCACGACCTGGCACTTATCATAGCGCACCGCAATGGTGGAGACGCCACCGTGTCCCATCTTGCTCAGCTGTAACACCGAGGTCCGGAAGGATAGATGAGTGGTGTGGTCGGGGATGAAAGATTGCCATCACCCCCTCACTTTATTCCTGCAGTCAGCGGGGCAGACATACGTGTTCTGCTGCCTGGGCAGCCACTGCAAAGTACGAGGGAGTGCCCGATGGCAAGCGGATCTTGTCCGAGGAAGCTGCAAAAGACACGATGCGAATCACAACGGGGACGGCCGAGTCAAGCAGCGTATCGCTATTGTGGAGCAAGCCGGAGGCTGGCACCTGGTAATCATTTGTCAGTTTTCAAGCTGTGCCAAACAGCAAGGCTTACCCTGGACAATGCTCACTCCGTCACGATCCGACACAACGATCGAGGCACAGCCATCAGCGCTACTCAGGCACAACAAATGAAGACCGGTAAAGTGAAACGTGGGCTGCTGGGAGCCGTGCCACCAAATTACAAAAAGACTAGAGCCTGCAAACAACATGCGACAGGGTAGCGACACTCAAGAGTCACATTGTGCCCCAGCTTACCGCTCGACGAGCTGGCGCAAAACATCGCTCAATTCCTACACACGGAGCAATGCCCAAGCGCGCCCGCGCCCGCCCCGACAAACACGATGCGTGAGACGAAATGGCACGGAAAACACACTTGCAGGAACACAGTCGCAAGGTATTGGAGCACATCGCCACGTGGCGCAAGCATGGCACACACGCCCAACGCACCATCATGACTTGTGGTGTATCTCGAGCAGGTTCAGGGCTGGGACTGCTCAACATTGGGGGAGACGGCAATGATCAAAAGAAGTGAGCTTGTTACCCGTTTAGACACACCATCCTGTTTCCCCTTGGGTCTGGCTCGCTCCTCAGACGTGTGACGCATTGGTCAATCACCCCATACACACCCGAAGCCGTTGATCAAGGAGCAGCAGAGCTAGTCGGGCTGCGCGTGTTGCTGCCGTTCTTCAGCGAAAGAAATGTGTGCGTGTGTGTGTGTGTGTGTGTGTGTGTGGCAAAGTGGCAGCAGACGAAACCTGTCGCGATATCGTAAAACAAAACAAAAGAAAAGAAAAAAAAAGAGAGAAGAACAAAAACAAGTCTTAGTGGTGGGAAGGATCAGTTCTTCAGAGCAGCCCATGCCTGCCATCGGATGGGTTATTGGTGCTTGATTGGGTTGATGATCTCTCCAGGTCGAGTGAATTTATTCAAGCAGGTTGATCTCCGCACAAACAATAGTTAAGGGTCAATCAATTGTCAACTCGAACATGTGACTTAAAAGAGTCAAAAACCAAAGCACATACAAAAAACAGCCAGCACCCGACTAGCAGGCAGCGAGCTCAAATCGATAATCTCGCTCCACCGGCGAACCCGTATTATCGTCTGCCGTCAGGGAGACGAGCACCACGAGGCGGGAGCCTGCCTCGATGGTCAAGGGTACGGCCGTGTCGAGGAGCAATATATCTTCAGGCACGATCAGCGCACCCGTCGCGCAATCTTCCTGGTAGAAATTGCCAGCCCACATGGCTGCAGTATTGAAGCGCTCGAGCTGCAGCATGACCGTCGCGTTGCGACCAGCCCCGAGCCATGCAAAGGAAAAGTTGTAGTCGGTGGCCAACAGCTCAAAAGCTGGTGCGACCGCCAACGCCACCTGGTCAGACGCCGCTGCTGGCACCGTGACCCCCACTTCAGACAAGTAGACATTGGTGCGCGTCACCTCATCACAAAGAAGGCTCTCCCAGCCTGCACGACAAATGCAGACGTTGCTGCTTGAAGATGGCACTTCACTCGGGTTGCAGTCGCTCTTCTCGGGTGTGCACACATACTCACAACGCTGCGAATAATTGGCAAAACACTGCTCATACTCGGGATAACTATACGAACAAACACAAAGGCCTGGGAGTCCAAGGTCACAGCCAAGTGAGATCCGGCAAAGGCAGGTGCGCATTGGCCCTCGATTACCATATCTTCGCGTCCCCCACACCCCACCTCCATGCCCGTGCTGTCATCATCACGATGATCATTATCACAGCGGAGACGTACCGTTGCTGCAGACGGCATCAGTGCCGCAATCAATAGCACACGTGGCATTGGTGTTGTCTGACCACGAGCCGTCCGAGGTGGGGTCCACCAGTCCGACTTGAAGGCTGCCTTGCAAGGCTTCATATGTATAGCCGTTGAACAAGATGGTCAAATAGCCGTTGTTGATGGCATCGCTCAGATCGGCAACGGCTGCCGTCGAGTCCTTTTCCGAGATGGCGCTGGCCGGCTCGAGGAAAAAGTGCAGCATCATGTTACTCTTGTTGAGCGTCAGGTTTTGAATCCGCTCCACGGGTAAATACATGATAATCGCCACGACTTGAAGCGTATGGCTTAGAAAAGCAGATTCCATCCCAGCCAACCGTGTGGCGTTGCCATCCGTGTTAAAGGCCACAGCCGTGGGGCACAGCACAGCCAACGCACGCCAGCTTCCATCGCTGCATTGAACCAGAGCCTAAAAATGATCCATCCAGGCGAAAGTGAGCCTTTGAGGAGAAAAAAAAAGAGAAAAAAAAAGAGAAAAAAAAAAAAAAAAAAAGAGCGCAACCAGTGAATCAGAAGTATCATGTTGGGGCCAACACGCAGAGAGTGGTCCTCTAGCTTGCGGTGGCCTCAACCAAAGGGTTGTCGCTACGCACTCGTGTTGTGGTCGATACCGTTGTGGCGATGGCTGCCGTGGTGCTGCGAACAGCGCCGGCACTGCTAGAGTCATCGGAGCGTGATTCAACCATAATGATCACGCCCACCGCACAGACCACAGCCAAGAGCAAGCACATCAGCAACCAAAACATCAGCTTGAGCCAAGGAAAAGCTTGGTTGGGTTGAACACCCAACAACTGCTTGATGCGTGGTGTGCGCGCGTCCGTGCTGGAATCGCCACCATGGCTTCCACCGAGCTTGCGTTTTCGTAACGTGTAAAAGCGATTTCGTTCCTACCGAATCGGAAAACACAACACCAAAAAAAAAAAAAAAAAAAAAAAAAAAAAAAAAAAAACCCCAGCAGACCAGCGAACATAGATCATGAGCCACGGCCCTGCATCAGCCACGCCCAGGTATGTCTATGCAGGCGGTTGGCTGGGCCGGCTGTACCTCAAGCTCGCGAATGCGATCATCAAGCGTGTCGGTCATGCGGCTCAGCTCCTGCACGGCACCGACGTTTTCCATGAAGACGCGCTCCTTGTTGACAACCAAGAGGTCATCGACAGCCTGGTCCCCAAATTGTACGGGACCGGTGTGGCGAACAGCATCGGGCAGGACTGTCTCAAGTTGTTGAGCAATAACGCCCGTTTCTTGTCTGTCGTCGGCCGCGCGACCGATGGAATCGGCCCACGCATCTTTAAGGCGGTATCGTTGCAGCTCGAGGCGTCGAATGTTGCCGAGCTGTTCCGCCGTGTCCACGGGCTGAATGTCCTCCTTGACGCGCGAATCGGAGGTTTGCAGCATCGTGCCGGTGAGTCGGATGTTTCCATGCACGCTGAGTGCTTCGGTGGGTTTGTCCGTGTTGATTCCCACGTTGCCATGGTGGACAACAGAATTGGCCACGCCCCGACCCAGGCGCCATTGGTTGGCACCCTCGTTGTCGTACTGGCCTGGGTTGCTGGCGCGAACGATGATGGGGCCTGAATGATGCACGGCCAGTGGAACGCGAGAGCCATCGTCGAGCTCGGCCAAGAGCTCCACGGCCAGGTTGAAATGGCGCTGGTCCGGATTGGGCATGCCTTTCTTGCGCATGTTATTGCCCGTGGTTTCACAAAAGTGGAGCCGGGCCAGTTTTTGTTTGGCTTCATGCTGCTCGACGGTCACGACCTGCACGCTCCAGGGACGCTTGCTGCGATCTGATTGCGACTGCTCAATAGCCACCCGATTGTGGGGCGGCTCGGCTTTGCGACCAAACACGTCCAGCAAAAGGCGAGCAATGGGACGTGGCTTGCCTTGAACGAGAGCGTAGGCGGGGCGGGTCGGGAGCACGGGCGTGACCAAGAGCTGAAAATGATTCTTCTTTTGACACACAAAGCAGCTGTCAAGAGGTGAGAAGCTAAAGCCCTTGTCGGCAATGACACGCAGACCCAGGCCGGAGATGGGCTTGTGGGCGCTTGTAACGGCGGGCACGGCGGCAGAGGGGACGGCGGCAAATTGCAATCGTGCATGGGGGCTTGGAGACCGACCGTCCTCGGTCGTGTCGTGGTCCACAGGTGTGGACTGCATCGAATCGGGTTCATCCGCATCGTTGGTCACGCTATCGCGGACTGATCGGCGAGATCGCGCCGAACGCTTGCGACGGGGCCCGGGCGACTTTTCTGACAGTTCACTCTCGGACGAGGCCGTTTCCTTCTCTTGCTTGGGAATAGCCAAGGCGCGCTTGGTGCGCCGCGTACTGCCTGAAGTGCCAGCAGAAGTTTCTCCGCTCTGTGCAGCTGGCGCGCCTCTACGGTGAGCGCCCGAGGTTGTCAAGGCGGTGGTCGTTGTGGCGGAAGAGGATGCCAGCGAGGCAGCGGTGGGAGCAAGAGTGGACGTGGGGCCACCAAATGCTGCCTGCGAAACGGCAGCACGGCGTTGCAAGGGCTCAACAAGGGAGGGGAAAGCTGCGGTGATGGCAGCATCCAGCTCATCAAGGGTTGATGGGAGGCCACTGTTGTGCGGCACAGTGCCAAAGTCATGGCTCATGGGCGGCATCACATTGGCCGAAGTGACCCCAGTGGTGGCCGGAGGCGCATGCGCAAGGCGGCCGCTGTGTTGCAGGTCGTGCGCTACATCATCGAGAAAATTGAGGTTGAGGGCCTCATTGCTCTCGAAAAGTGGGTTGTCCTTGCCAAACTCGGAGAAGGGGCTGCGCGAGGAGTCGTGGTTGCCATGCACGTCGGTGGCATGGGAAAAGGTGGCGGGGTACTCATCAAAGCCGGTGGGCATGCCCATAAGATTTGGATGGGGGTTCACAAGGCCTGGGTGTTGGTGAGGGTTGAGGTGTGGAAAAGGATGCACAGCGGTGCCGGCCGCGACAGCCGCGCCTGGGTTGCCTGCGTACATTGCAAACATGGCCTGCTGCTGTTGCTGCTGCTGCTGCTGCTGCTGCTGCTGCTGCTGTTGTTGCTGTTGTTGTTGTTGTTGCTGCTGCTGATGGGTGTTGGCCTGGGGCCAGGCTGGGGAAGACGCCGTGGACTGCGTGTCGTGGCCTGAGTCGGAGCTGAACAGAATGGCAAGAAGTGCGGGAAGAGTATTTGATTGAGCAAAGATGATCAACCAGAGCTCGGGCAAGGGGGAGGAGGGTCACAACGTACTGAACCTGCACATCCTGCGACTTGATGCCGTGAAGCGGCAGGTAATCCATTTCACTATCCCATTGGGGCAGAAGGAGCGCAAGCAGCAAACGGTGATGAGATGATTCGAGACTATTCTCACAAGACCAAAGCAGGTTTGACGTTGGGCACCAGCATCTCAGGCAGTCATACGAAACCAACGTGGGCAGATAGGCCATGGCGCCGTGGCCAGCCAGCCTCCAATATAAGCTTTGCGACCGTCAGCGAATCCGAGCCGAGCGGCACGCCTGCCATGCAATCGTCGGCATGGAGCGACGCACACAGCTACATGGCAATTGTCCAGCGAGAGAAGCAGGCAACTGGCGTGAGTTTCACAACCCCTTGGAGAAGCAGAGGTGTCATACGAGCAACAGGCTACCGGGAAACAGGCAACAAGCAGCCAAGGAAGCAGCAGGGCGCTGCCATTTCTGACCGTCGCCCGCGGCATCAATGTACCAACCAAGCTTCTTTTGTCGACAAAAAGGGCGAGAGGGTGTTTGGCGTGATTTCTCTCTCTCTGCAAGATGGTGGAGCGTCAGCCCCTCTCTCTGACCCCCCTTGCTCTACAACGTCCAAGACCAAGCATTCAACCACAATGCTACCGCTGTCTCTGCTTACAAAGCCATTCCCAACCCCTTCCTCTGCGTGTGACATCTCCCGCCAACCACAAGAAAAAAAAAAGTTGGCGATGTCGCCTATAAAATCTGACATTATGGCAAGTTGGCATGTTACTTTAGGGGATACATTTTCAACTTAACTAACAACCATGGCCAAGCAAGGATTGCGGACAGAGATGCGGCGGGTTCTGCGGGCGATCGAGCCGGCAGCCCGTGCGCGGCAGTCGGCGGCTGTCTGCAAGCAGGTAGCTGGCCTGTTGGGGTGGAAGGAAGGACAGTGTGCCAATTACCATCTTGTTGGGTCTCGGTCTTGTCTGTCGCGTCGTTGTATGCTGATGTCCGTTGCGCTCGTGCTGGATAATGCCCGATGATAGGTGCTCGCCCACCCAGCCCTGGAGGCCGCGCGCAACGTGGCCGTGTACCTGAGCATGGACGATGAGATTTCCACCACTGAGCTCATTCAGGTGCTGGGCGCGAGAGATTGATGCGATATAGTCATGTGCACCGGAGGTAGCCAGCACCTTTCAGGCACAGCCACGGCACTCACGAACAATGTGCTTGCTTGACACAGACGCTGCTACAGCGTGCCAAGCAGGTGTACGTGCCGCGCTACACGCGCGAAACCATGGACATGTTTCCTGTATGTGGCCTTGGATCGAGTCATGCTGCTGTCTCTGTGCTACTGCTCCCTGCCACCGCTGTAATCCACCCATTGTGTTGGCTTATAATTCCTTCACACGGACGCGCAGATTGCCTCGTGGGCAGATGTAGAGGCCATGCCTCTGACCAAGTGGAACATCCGCCAACCCGCCGGTGCGTCCTGCAGCGATCGTGAAATCCAGAACCGGCGGCTATAAACGGTCCACGCGCTACCACTCGTCCCCAGCTGACCAGTACTGCCTGAATGCAGAAGCTCCTGCTGAAACTGCAGCCCTCGCGCACGAGGGGCTCGATGTCATCCTGGTTCCGGGCATGGCTTTTGACAAGGTCTTGCCCTATTGATTGAGACACCCACCTTTACTTTTCATTGCCCTTGACTCTGGTGTTTGCGGGACGCTCGGCTTGCTCGCCGAGAACTCTGACTGGAACGGGTCGGGTCGCACGTGCCTTTTCTTGTCGGTTTTCGTAGGCGGGACGACGCTTGGGTCGGGGCAAAGGATACTACGACCGATACTTTGCACGCTGCGCCCAGTTTGCCACTGGTTTGTCTCCCATGTGCCCGACAGTACCCGTCTCCCGAGCTCAGATGCTCACCCAACTCCTGCCGCCCCGGTACATACAGCACACAACCAGTCCCGACCCGTCTATTTGGCATTGGCCTTTGATGAGCAAATCGTCGATCAGGTGCCCACAGATGAGCATGATGTGACTCTTGATGCCGTGGTCACCCCAGAGCGGATCTACTAAGCACAAATGCGCTTTTCGGATGGCTTTGTTCAAAGGCCGGTGATGGCGCGCTTTGTGTCGTCCCACATGAAACGACCCCATGCGCGTTATGTCTTTGGCTAATTGCTGCCGGCATCAAAAACCTGTACTGCCAACATGCTACACCTCAAGCAACTCCACAACCCCTGATACCTCCTCACTCCAGAACAGCTCTGAAGAGCAATGCTGCTGCCAAAATTTAGATCTCTATCTGAAATGCAAAAAAAAAAAAAAAAAAAAACTTTCAAATTTTTGTGATTTTATCAAAATCAATTTCGCTTGACGCCGAGAACCCCCCTCCTCTCGCACCGCCTCCCGCACCGCCTCTCGCACCGTCTCTCTCTTCTTATCCTGCGTGCGTTTTGACTGGTGGAGATCGGCGTGCATGCTCGATTTGATGATGGCTGCAACACCGGCCCCACCAACAAAGCCGGAGGGCAGTGAGATGCAACTGCCAGCGCGAGTGCGAACGCGCGCCTACACCCGAGCCTTGGCAAAGCCACAGATCAAACCCACGGATCCGCAGCCCTCACTTCGGGGGCGCCGGGCCCCTGGCAAGCGGCAGCCCACCCCCTGCCCGCTGCCCTTTGCCATGAGCCGTCTCTTCTATTCCAATGCGTCCAATCCAGAGATTCGCCGTTGTCGGTATGAGCCTGGTAGCCCCCGCCCGCCGTGCACGCTTGGCCGACTATGGGCAAAAGCACCGGCTACAATGACTGGACCGTGACGCTCGTTTTATCCATAGGCGAAGTTTAAAGGTCTTGCATCGCGAGCCCAACGTCTTTCAGGTTGATGATTTTCTCACTGAAGGCGAGCTGCAGCACCTCAGTCGGGTGGTATTGGACCGGATTGCAAGCCAGCGGCTCTCAGGCTCATACATGGACAACGATTTGGGCCAGCCAGTGACGTCGGCCTATCGCACTTCCAAATTTACTTGGCTCGAAAAATCGGCGGACAGCCTGGTGGCTCAAATTGAGCGGCGGGCTGCCGATCTCCTGGGGACGGAGGCACTTTGCATCGAGCCGTTACAGGTGGTGAGCTATCAGCAAGGCCAGCAATTCAAGCTGCACCATGATGCAGGGACCCTGCTGGAGAGAGACGGCGGGGTGGAGCTCGTGACTCCGTTACGCACGGCCACCATCTTTGTTTACCTCAACACCATTCCCGCCACCCGCAGCTGTGCGGGGTATACACACTTTCCTCGACTCGGCCTCAAAGTACAACCGAAGCGCGGGCGCGCGGTCGTCTTTCCCAACCTTCGTGCGGATGGCACTGTCGAGCCGGCCACTATTCATGCCGCTCTGCCCATGACCAACCTGGCCGGGGGACGCAAGTTTGGTCTAAATATCTGGGCCGGTTTCGATGGTTATACCAGCGCTGGCGCTGCGCGCCGTCGTGCGTCAAAGCGGCGCTCACAACCCGCCCGCAAACGCCGCAAAGGCACTGCTTCGGGCCCACTTGGCCAAGAATTGGCTGCCTGCCGCGCTGCTCTGCAGCTACCCGACTCTGAGAGCGATGGCGAGAGTAACTGAAGCACGCAGCGTGCGGTTGAGGGCGCTTGATGTTATGGGCGAGTGATGTTTCCTATTTTTTTTTTCCAAAGTTTTATCTAGGACTTGTGTAGTATGCGCACGCAAACGTATGTGTGACCTTTGAGCTAAAAGGCCTTCAAATCGAGCAGTCATGTATGTGCCTCAAGCAAGCGAAGCGGGCAAACAAGCTCGTTCACGTCACACGGCATTTGTTCGGCAATTCAATGGCACGGGAACAAAGGGCTTTTGATCCGGTTGACAGCTCCTGCGGTGAAAGTACAGTCGGTTGGAAAAAGGAGGGGACTATCACACAACATCACCAGAGATGGGCAGAGCCATGACGTCCCGCACAGGTATAGCTCTGGTTGTGCTCAAAGCAAATTCACACGTCGATTATTCATGATGGGGAAAGGATATACGATGAGTACCCGTTGTGGGCATGGCTTGGAGAAGACACTCGAGTCCGCAACAAGGCCAGCCAGAAGAGAGGAGCAGGATCTAAAGATAAGGTGGCAGTACTAGTCCGGTGTCCCGAGCACTCGTGCAAAAGTCAGACTGGACCAGAATGCTGCTGTGTCTGGTCTACTTGGATTGGAGAACACTGGGGTTGGCTTCGATAATGAGGTGGCTTGTGATGGGATCGCTGGACATGCGCAAGTGGGGGTTAGCCATGTGAAAGTCATGAAGAAGGAGGTCAATCTCCTGGCGACGCTTCTTTGCGCGACTTTTCTTCCGCGCAACAAATGGAATAACCGGCAGCAAGCTCACACCCGCCGCTATCCAACGTGCAGGGAGGGGGAGAGAGCAGTGAGGGGGCCAGAAACCACAATCGACGTGAAAAAGAAGCAAGAGGCCAAGCTGGAGAAGCGGAGCCAGCAAAGACTGTGACAAGTTGGTGTGTCTCTACCCGGGGGACTATTCCAAGATTATGCCGCCACCTACCCAAAAGGCCATAGTCGACCTTAGTACAACGGTACTTGCGGCGAATGGCATTCAGTCGCACAATGTGGTCATGAAAGTCTTCGTAGGAGAGATGGCCGTACAAGGCTTCTGGGTAGGGCTCTTCATCATACTTGATATCAAGCCAGCCATTCACGGGTCGCGATTTGACAACGACACGCAGTCGCTCGAGAGGCACAACGGTTGGAGGGGCGGCGTGGCTCGAGTCGGTGTCGTTGTTGGCGGATGGGGACGTGCTGTTGGTGAAATCAACGCTCTGATGCCAGCCAGGCGGCCTCGAAGGTGCCTCCTGGTGAGGTTGTTTGTTGACATAGGCACGAGCCTGGCTCGGAAGAGAGGGTCGGTGTTGCTGTGGACTGGTGGACGGCGAGGCACGCACGCGTTCAAAGGCTTTGCCGGCCGAGGCCTCGCGGCTGGCCACGGGTGCTGAGGGCTCGATGTTGAAGAAGGGGTTGTTGGTCCTGTCGGATGCCGTCGTGACCATGTTGGCAGTGTTAACAATGATGGCCACCTAATCCATTCATAAAAAGTCTGTTGGCAGGATGCAGCAGCCGGTGGTTGGTGGCCGTCAAGCTAACATCCGATGTAAGGACCGGGATGGGCGTGACGTGGATGGCACGAGAAAATGCCAGAAGTGAAGTGAAGGAGAACCACAGTCTGGCGTTTGCAAACAAGAGCACAGGGTCCATGCGTCGAATGGGAGTGAGCTCTGGCAACGGAGACACGTCACAGAGGCTACGCGAGCGCCGAGGCGTGAGGGCGGCGCACAGAGCGACGACGTGAAATACTAGAGGAACGAAGTAGACGCCGTCAAAGGCAATCATGTTCAGTGAGGCCGAGAACGATGGAAATGACAATGTGGGAGCGAAGGCGCAGAACAGAGTGCAGAACAGAGTGGCGGGCCAGGGAGTAAGAATAAACCAGCGGCAAGACGCCACCAGAACGCTCGGAACACAGAGCACCGACTGGCGTTCGCAAGAGATGAGACCGTACGACTGACTGCGCACGCGCGGAACTCAAATTGTGATGATGACGCGCGCTCTCTTTCTCTCTCTCTCTCTCTCTCTCTCTCCGAATCTCTCTCTTAATCTCTCTCTCTCTCTCTCTCTCTCTCACACAATCTCTCTCTCTCTCTCTCTCTCTCTCTCTCTCAAAATCTCTCAAAATCTCTCAAAATCTCTCTCTCTCTCTCTCTCTCTCTCAAAATCTCTCAAAATCTCTCAAAATCTCTCGCTCTGTCTCTCCAATTCCTTCCACACCACACACACCTTCACCATCTCCACATCATTCCCTTGCCGTTGCCCACACACACACACACACACACACACACACACACACATAGTTCACAGTCAGTTAGGCTTTGGGTTATGTCCAGACAAAGCCTATCAAGGCTGTTCCCTCCTCCTTTCCTTTATTATCAAAAGTCTCTGTGTCTCTGTTGGAGGTGTGTCAAGCTTGAGGCAAGGGCTCAGCAGCTCGTGCTCCAAAGGTGTCTCACTACAACGGCCGACATGTACTGGTCGTCCGGACACCTGGATCAGAGTGCTAGTGGGCCAATGATATTGTGATAATGACAATGAATACTTGAGTTGCCAAATGAAAGTTACTGTCTTTGCTTGTGCAGGGCTTGGCATTTGTGTGGCATGTCGTCTCTCGATTTGCCTCGGCCCGCCACCACTCGGGTGCTCCAGGATGAGCAAACGCAAAGAAAAACGAGCAACGAGCAAACAGAATAATCCGGGATACAAAAGGGGAAAAGAAGATTGAAAGAAACACACAGCTTGAAACCCATTCACAAGGTAAGATTGATGCAAGAACGCTGGTGGCATGCCGTCTGAGCACCACAGACCCAACGTGCTTGAGTCCTTATTCTGGAACAGACCCTCTTCTGGTGCTGTCGGGTTCCAGTCTCAACCAGAGACCAGTAACAGAGAAGAGGCGGCCATACTAGGCTTCTGATGCCGATGCGCCCGGTGCTGCGCACGCCCGCGCAGTCTCGTCTACGTCCACACTGTCGAATTCATCCAGGTTTGAAAAGATGCCAGCATCCACGTCCACGCCCTCCACTGATACAAAAAATTTGCGCCGCTTGGCCTACACCACGCCATCATTTTCAAACACCGCACAGGCCGCCATTGAGCGAGACACGCAGGGGAACAAGCCAAGGCGATTTTTAATTTGATGAGCAATCGCGAGTTGACTTGCAAATCGACTCACCATGCCTTCACCGCCTTCTTCGTCATCTTCGTCCTCGTCGCCGTAGTCGACGTTCTCGAAAACAGAAACATCAAAGCCCTTGACGGGCTCCTCCGTCTCGCCCTCCACGCCTGCCGCCTTGGGCTCAGCTGGAGCATTGTCATCGGCACCCTCGCCATCCTGACCCGCGGCATCGGCATGAAACGAAAAGAACTCGCGACCCGTAACCTATCCGCCATAGCCACAACCGACACGGTGAGTCCACATTTGTGCAGCAAATTCTGTTGCAGAACCAAGCGGCCTCAAAAGGTAAAAAAAGACAAGTCCTGCCAACTTACGCCAAAGGAACGGCCTTCCGACGCATCTTTTTTCTTCTTCTTGGCCTCGGCTGCTGCCAGCTTCTTCTTCTCCGCAATCTGTGGTCCAGCCGCATGGATGAGCATATCACACACACACACACACACACACACACATATGAAGCAAAACATAACGAAGATAGCAAAGAGGGAAGTGGCATGCGGATTCAAGTAGAAAGAAACGGATGCGGGTCGCGCCTGCCGCACCTTTCTTCGCTTCCACTTCATAAACGTCTCGTAAGTCACAGGGGTGGTGTTGGTACCCAGCTTGGCACGCTCGTGATCAATCAAGTCCTCCATGGTGATGGAGTTCTTGTTATCCTCCGCCTTCTTGCGGTCCTTCTTCAGCACATAACCTGAAAGAACATGGCCAAGACAAGGGGTCAACAAGTCAGAGATGGTGCCCATGCACAAGCTCAGGAAGCATGAAAATCCGAACAAACGGCGCTCGTACTGGTACAAAGCTCGTCAAATTTATGAGACAATAACATACCTTCGGGAAGGGCATGACGGTACTTGCACGACTCGCCACCGTTGGGGCACACCCAGAACCAACCGTACAGGCCGTTCTCCACAGCCTCAAGGAAATGCTTGCAAACCTTGTTGGTGGTGGTCTGAACCTTTTGAGAGCTGTGCTTTTGACGAATGACGTCGCCGAGCTGGTTAAGATCCCATGCCTCAGACGTCTCTGCGCGCCAGGCAGCGACACATCCATCCGCTCGCCAGTAAGCAAAATGCAAGCCATTAAAAGTGTCTGCGCCGATTGTTTGTGCTCCATACTTCATCGAGACATACCGTCCTTCTTCTTGTCGCGGGCGTCAACATAGATGTTACGCTTGCCAGACTCAGTGGCCTCGTCTTTGGTGTTGACGGCCTTTTGCTCTACGGGCTTGGCCTTTTGGCGCACAGGCTTGAAGAGGTCATTCATCATGGCCTTTTCCTTGGCCGCCGCCTGTTGTCGAGCCTATAACATTGCCACACATGATGGTCTACGTCAACAAACATCCTCATATCCCTCAATCTTTCAACCCCGCGATCCACAACAGCTCCATCCTGATCCCGATGCTCTACGAGACTCACGCGTTCCTCAGAAGAGGGTTTCTGTGAACAAGACGACCGCAGCCCAACCACGCCATTGTGCCACAAATGAGAGAGCGCAGATTTTCCAAGATCCAAAACCCAACGACAGCCGAGCACAATTGCCGGCAGGAGCTTGAGTCACATCGTACGTTATTTTTCTGGCCAGCTTGCTGCTTCACTTGCTGAATAAACTTTTGCTGTTTGCCACCTTTTTTGTTCTTCAAACCAAAGGTTTTATCCTCGACAAACTGCTGTTTGGCCTTTTCCTGGGCCTTCTTCACGTTCTTCTGCTTGGGCGGCATGATGGCGGTGTTTGCGGAGCCACAGACCACAACCTCTCAAACCCCTAGAAATATGAAACAGAGCAATGTTCATGCATGGGCCAGCCAACAACCGATGAACAGACGGCTCTGCATGAGTTTTGCAGCTGATGGGCTTAAGATGCACAAGCGGGTCGGGTTGCAAGCCAGACGGGTAGATAGCTCGTCTGGAAAGGACATACCGCCAAAAAAATCTCCCCTTCTGGACAAAAGGCCTGAGCCAGTTCGAGTAACACTGCTCAAATGATACACGAGCTCCTAAGAAAGAGGCAAGGCAAACAGTGCATTGCGTGCAGCAGAGTCAAGAAAGCACGACGAGTTGGCGCATCAGGTTGACACAGCAGTAAGGCGCGCCATAGAGCTGGCTCGTTTGAAGAAGAAGCAAACGACATGGCGGCCGACCCGCTGCCTTCTCACCCCACCACCACTCACGACCTCCTCCCCTTTCAACTGAAAACGCTCTGTCCTCTCGATCAACAATGCCCGCAACTCAACCCTCCCCCCCCCCTCCCCGCTTCCTCCTGCCGTAACCCCGAGCTCGGCGTACCAGCTAGCCAGGGCGCGGAGCAGCATCAGCGTCAGCGCCGACCCGATGTGTGTGTTCGTACCTGTTTGAGACGGAAGAGAAACGTGGTCCCACTGTGGCACAACCTGCTTGACAAGGGGCTTGCAAGCCAACGACTTGGAAGTGTGAATGTGTTACACACCCTTGTATTGGATGTGTGACAAATGTCATACTCTACGTGACTCATTCGTTGTCAGACGAAATGGATTTGTAAGATAAAATTGGAAATTCAATTTGTACTTATCTCTCCGCGCCGAGTGGTGGTAGCGGTGGGCAAGAGCATGGGACGGAAAGAAACGAGTCGAAACGAGCTGCCAACGGCACACCAGGAAGCAAAGTCCAACGCAAGGAGAGCTTCAGGCTGGGAGGGATCAGGCTCAAAACAGTTGATTTACATGCTACTCAAATCCATCATTGACATAACTCAGATAGTCCATGTAATCCTTGATGGGCACGTCGGCGGCCAAGCGGCGATGCTCGGCTTCCTCTGCCTCTGCTGCAAGCTTCTGCTTGTGTGCCGCAATCCATTCCTTCTTCAGCACGCGCTGTTCCTTTGCCGCCAACTCACGGAGACGCTGAGCATCTGAGATCTCTTGCTTGTGTTTGGCCTCGGCGATTTCAGCATCACGACGGCGTTCGGCCTCGCGCTCCTCCAAGATCTTGCGGTTGCGCTCAGCCTCAAAGGCCACCTGCTCCTGATACACCTTGCGCGCATTATCAGCCATGCGTCGCTCCAGCGCGTCGTGTTCCTTGTACATTTCAGGACCCAGCGCAGCCGCCCGTCGACCGGCAGCTGAATTGGTGGGACGCCAGTTTTTGTCCGTGGCTACAGTTGAGAATCATCGAGGCAAGGAGTGAGATGCATTGCAGGTCAGCCTGCACTCGTCGTGATCCAAGACACAGAAGGCAAAAAAAAAAAAGTACACTCGCGGCCACTCGACTCCGTGAGACAAACCAGGCAGATGCTTGAGGTCAAATGGCACGGGCTGGCGTGGGTGAGCCATTTTGGCAGCCGCCTCTTGACCTCGCTTGTACTCAATCTGGCGTTTGAGTTCCGCCCGATAAGAGTTAAGTTGCTACACATGGGCAGACCAGGAAGAGAGCGAGCGGACGAGGATGGTGAGTTGAAGACAAGGCACGGCGCAACAATGCCCTTTCTCTCCACGATTGGGAGCAAGGACATGTGATTGAAACAGGAAGGAGAGAATAAAAGTGAAAACGACAGACCTGTTCACGACGCTCCTCCTCTTCGAGCTTCATGGCTTCGAGTTGTTCGGCCAACGCACGCTGCTCTTTTTGGCCCCGTTCAAAGCTGCGACGCTGCTTCAGGGTTTCCTTGAGACGCACGGTGGCGGCCTGAGCTGCTTGATCCAAACTGAGATCGTGATTGTGACGTCGGATAGACGAGTGGGAGGTGGGAGGCCGGAACACAAACACATCTTGGCCTGCATTGCCGTCGCCCAGCCCGTCTCCGGTCAGCTCTGCATCGGTGGAGCGCTTGGTGACAGCTGCTTTTTTGTTGAAGACGGCTGTGCGCTTCTCAGCTTCGCGGCGTGCCTCATCCAGCTTCTTCTCCAAAGCAATGGCCTTGCGGTCCTGGCGCTCCAGCATGGAGGTGAGTTGCAGATCCATCTCGCGCAGGCTAGCCTCCTGCTTTTGACGGATTGTAGGGTCCAAGTCCAATTGATCCCGAATGTGGCGACGCCGCCGGCCCGGGTTGGAGCCTTTGGACTGAACTTGCTGCTGCCACTCCTCATAAGTGAGGCGTGGCGACTTTTCACGTTTGAGTCGGTTGCGATGGTGTTCCACTGGAAGCTGCTTGGGCAAATCTGGAAGGGGGCCCTTTTTGACGTCCCAATGGGCCGTCTAAAGCACAGTTTGACACGCGTCGGCCCGATTGTGGTGAGCAGATGGGGGAAAAAATGGCCAAAAAAGTAATCAAGAAGACAAAAGGGAGCGGGAAGAAAAAAAAAAAAAAAAAAAAAAAAAAAACGAGGCAAAGCGAGATGAGGCGAGACTAAGAGAAGAGGAGATCAAGCTTCGTGAGAGAACTCGAGTGAGCTGCAGCGGAAGCAAATAGCCTACTTTATTAACGACGTCAACGCCTCCTTTGGGATCCTCGATGACAACGCCGATTGTCGAGTTCAAGTTTCGGGTCGCCAACTTTGAAAACTGCTCAGACTCGGTGGCAGCCAGGTCACTGTCATCGACGGGCGTGATGGGACGGCGACGACGAGACTCCAAAGCCGGAGACAAGAGGCGATGGTCTGCGCTGGCGGTGCCGGGTGGGCTGGCTGGGCCAGCTTGGTCTAGGATGGGAAGTTGCCGGTTAGAGACCAGGGACGACTGCCACTTGATATCCCGGCGGCGCCCAGCGTCTGAGCGGGCCTGAGAGCCCCAGGCTTCGTCTTGGGGCGTTTCTATGACGTCCCCGAGACTAGTCTTGAACTCAGTCGTGGTGGGTGTACCCAAGATGCGCGGCGTGATGGCGCGCATGTCGGTCGTGCTGGGTCGATCCAGGCCCAAGGCGTCAAAGTCAAGCCGGGCCACCGTCACGGGGCGGCTCTGGAACTCGCTGCGCGGGATGTGAAGGCGCTTCATGGGCTGAGGATCATCATAAAATTCCTGAACAAACACAAAGCGCACTTTGGTGGCCTTGATGGACAGCTTGCCAACGCCATAAAACTCGAGCGAGGTGCCCTTGGGATCAAAGCGTTTCACTTCGCGGGACAAGGCCTGTCGATGTGCAGGGCAAGTGGAGTGAGCAGCAGAGGAGAGGGTCAAAAAAGGCCCACATGTAGCAAGTCTTGAGCACGGGCGAGCACGAGGCCTTTTTGAGAAAAGCAGCAAATGCCATCTGCACGTACATTGATGACTTCTTTGACTGTGTTCTCGATGGTGTGGCGGTCAAAGCCAGACGCGAGGCTTAGCGTAGTAAAATTCAACCCAACCACCGGGCAGGTCGCAGCAATTGCCTGTGGCTCCAGGTTGATGGGGTGGCGACTCAAGAAAGAATTGGAGAGGTTGAAGATGGGTTTACCACCCTCGACGTCCGGACCAAGAGCAAACGTGCCCAAGGATAAGACTGACACGCCCTGCAGATGGAACACGGATGCAGTCATAGCCCAGCACACGGAGAGGCGGCAGTGTTAGCCACCATGAAGAAGAGAGGTCTGCCATTTGACTGAGCAAGAAGGGCACACCTTGCCGCGAGAAAGCATCTCGGCAATGAGTTGCGAGACGCAGAACCAGATGTTGGCCACATCTAGCAGATATCAGAGATGGCCATCGAGAAAAAGGATGGGTTAGGGCAGGCGGCTCGGGATGGGCTTGGTACCCTTGAGGTCACGCGACAAACCGTCTTCGGAAAGGTTTGGAATGGTGGTGAATCGCGAGCTGCGGGCTGCATCAAGCAGAGGCTGCGACGGGGGACGGGCCTGAACATCCGACATGGCACCGATCACTTGGCAAGTGCACCGGCTTGGGCGTGCTGCCGTGCTAGCGCAGTTCCAAGGCGCAGCCGCCGCTGCAGGAGGGATGGTTCAAAGGCGAACGGCTGAGCAGCAGGCAGACAGGCCTGTTCCAGACTAGGTGGCAAGACGGTACTATGCCGACTGCACGCGGGACACGGCGATAAGCGAGTGATTGGCAGCGAAGGGCGGGCGAAGAAGCGAAGGGCAGTCAAAAAAGCCACGGTGACACGAGCTTGCCTCGGGAACAAGAACGCTTCACGCTCAAGTGGACACAGTTCAAACAACAAGAAATAAAAGAAAAGGGTTACGTATGGATCAGCCAAGTGAGCGGCACACAGCGCATCGATAACCAACCTCAAGAAATGAACGTGATGCGCGCGCGCTGTGTGGCTGCGTGCTACGCCCTGCGTGCTCCGTGCTGTGCTGCGCTGTGCTCGGACGTTGTCAAGGTGAGAGCTAGCAACCAAGTTGAGTCTGAATGGAAACTGAGAGACTCACACACACACACACCCAACATTTTGTCTGACAATCCCAGATAATAAATGCTGACAATAAAATTTCATTTTTTTTTGACTGCTCGTGCTCGTAACGTTCACTTGGAAGCTCGCTGGCTGGCCAGGCCCGCTTCATCGACGCTTCATTGACGCTTCATCGGAGGGCGCTGACCTGATCATCAACAACAAACATTATCAGCAGCAGCAGCAGCAGCGGCAGAGCTACTGTTGGGTCGATCGATGCCATCGCTCTCTGCGATCCATCCTGTCAGAGCTGCCTAGTGCCGCTTACGACTTCTCGTCCTTCAGCTCAGACATGGGGACTGTTGAGTTGGCAGTGACAGATCCAGCGGATCCGGCTCATGGGACCACCTGTCGCGTGGAGCTGGAGACACGGCAGGCGAGTCCGACCCTGGAAAGCGGTCTCCGCTTGCTGCCCGACGCGCTCCCACGCAAGATTCAGGCGTTTTGGTGGCAAGACAGGTTGTGGCCGGCAGCGCAGCCTCTCCCCGATGCTGTCCAGCGCCAAATGGTGACTGCGGCCTCTTGTTTTATGCCTGTTCAGGTGTGCAGCTTGCATCCCTATTGTTTTCGCTTTCTAACCGCAACTCGCGCTGCTCTTGTCTGCTTCACCGACTGCTTCTAATACCGTTGTCGCGTCCGCAAACGGACACTCCATATTAGCTTTGTCGCGACCATGACCAGACCGCCGTTGCTATAGCGACTGCGCCGACCCTCCCTGGCCCCAGGTGCTGCTATTGCTTCTGTGAAATCGCCGACACAAGCACGGACGAGCTGAGCGGAGAGCCAGAGCAGTCGTGTGCTTACCCCTGTGCGCACGCGAGCCATGCTGCCTGTCGCCGAGCGTGGGTTGTTCGGCGGCGCATCGGTGGTTGTCCCCTGTGCACTGGAAATCCTTTGGGCAGAAAGACAAAGGCCGTGTTTGTGGATATTAGTGGTACGCTGCTCGTCGGCAACGCGGCCCTGCCCGGTGCCATTGACGCCTTGGCTCGGTACGCCACTACCGGCATCTGCTCGGGGGCCCATGTTCTTGCTTGCCTGGTCTCACCTAGCGCCACATGCCTGCAGATTGAAGCAAAACTACACCGTGCGCTTAGTCACCAACACGAGCAAGGAGTCACAGCGTGCCATTTACGAGCGCCTGACGACCCTCGGCTTTGCCGTCGAACCCTCTGGTACAGCGCCTTTTGACGTTTGCGTGCCGCATGGCTTGACGCTTAGCGCCAATTCAAGGCTGACTACCCGTAACGCACTGTTTGCCTTGCATGATAGAGGTGTTTACCTCGCTGGCGGCCACGAGGGCGCTTCTGCTTCGCGACCAACGTCGGTAAGATGGGGTCCGACCACTTCCTGGGCGCTTGTGAGCAAGCACGCCGCGGACCTCAAGCACCGCCTTCATCGCCTGCTTAGATGCTTCTTTATCATTCCACCGGCCACGGAGGAAGATTTTGCCGATGTTCCTCGCGACAGCCCAGATACCGTGGTTCTGGGGCTGGCGCCTGACAGCTTTGACTATGCAACTTTGGACACCGGCTTTCAAATCCTCAGACAGCCGGATGCCCGGCTGATAGCCATCAACACCAGTCGGTAAGTCTTGTTGATTCGGCATCTGGCCCTCGTGCTCTTCTGCCCGCAACAAACGCCTGTGTTGAGCCCTTGCTCCATTTGTGTCGCTTGTGCTTGCACACGATTAAAACGCTGCAGTTTTTATGCCACCCCGAGCGGCGTGCACATCGCCGCGGGCGCCTTTGTACGGGCTCTGGAGTATGCAGCCAATGTGTCGGCCCACGTGGTGGGCAAGCCATCGGCCGAATTTTTCCGCGCCGCTGCCGGTACGGACATGCTTGCTAGCCCGGCCAGACTGGTAGTCGGAACCTCACGGGCAACCCAAACACGATGCGTTTTCCGGCTTTGGCAGCTTCCTGCCACCTGGACGTCGAGAGCTGCGTTATGATTGGGGATGTTGGTTCCTGGCGCCCCCATCACCATGTCGCTGGTTGGAAAAACAAAGTCTTTTTGCGCATGACCCAAGACTCTTTCTTGTCGCCGTGTCTAGGATACGGGAGACGACTTTGAGGGCGCCATGCGCGCCGGTTTGCGGGCCATGCTCGTTGCTACTGGTAGGTTTGATGCAGCGAGGAGATGATGTGCGTGTTCCCCAGCAGTCTTGAACTATTCATCTCACCTCATATGGCGCGGTCTGACAGGCAAAGGCGACGCGGAACACCGGGACTTTTACTGCGCCGCCCGTCACTCCTCCTTTGCAACAGCCGTGGACAACTTGCTCGACTCCTCCATCTAACGGCATACTATGCGTCCTGTTCAACAACCACCAGACAAAAGGCTCCACGGCTCAACAATAATCCATTTACACCTCGCCCGGGCACCGAACCCCCTAAGCCCCCGCCCCCAACCCTTCTTCTCTTCCATATCCCCAAGCGCTTTGGATGCTGGTAAAAATAGCACACATGCCACCTTTAACAATAGCGCATTCTAGAGATGTGCTGACATGTAGGAAAGAAGAAGAACAAAAGGAAGAACACTAATGCTCGCACACACACACACACACACACACACACACTGATGGAAGTGAACACGTGTTCTCTCTCTCTCTCTCTCTTCTGTGTCTTTTACTGTTGAGCGGTAAGCGGCGGATTCTTGAGACGGGTTGCTGCATCAAAAGGGCAGCGCTCGGGGAAAGAAACACTTGGGAATGGAACGGACTGCTGTGAGCATGATACAGGGCAGTGGGGTGGATGGAATGAGGAGAGGAAGTCATGTGGACATAGGGAGGGGTGGGGTGTTGGGCGATAAGTTTTCCACGTGCCGGCTTGAACGGACTTGGTGTCACAGTATTGCAGCGCTCTTGCTTGTGGGTTGTGCCCTGCCCGCCTCTCACTCTGAATGCGACTGGGTCCCGATCATCGTTCTTGCTTTCGTCGTAGACGGCCACTGTCTGCCCGTCACCATGTTGTCGGTGCGCGCCCTCGCCGTAACGCGCTCAGTGCGCAGCGGCGCACGGGGTCTCTCCATGGCTCGACCCCTCGCTGCTGCCTCAGCACGTACGTGCCTGCCCTTTCTGCCTTTGCGCCGTCGCAGCCCATGCCTTGCGCCCGCCTTGTACCTGGCTCAATCTCCAATCACCTGCTCTTGTGGCTCCCGACGGCACAGTCGAACGTGACATTGCCAAGATTCGCAACATTGGTATCTCCGCCCATATCGACTCGGGCAAGACCACGCTGACCGAACGCGTCCTCTTCTACACCGGCCGTATCAAAGAAATGCACGAGGTTTGCAGTCCCGCCCCTCGTTGAGTGCTCACACGCCCTTCCACCACAAGACGTGCTTGGCCGCTCCTCTGACCGATGCCTCCCGTCCTTCCCATCGATTCTCTTCTTGAATCAGGTGCGCGGCAAGGACGAGGTCGGCGCCACCATGGATTCAATGGAGCTCGAACGTGAAAAGGGTAAGCGACTGTCGCCTTTCTCGACACCAACCTGCCTCGGACACCGATGGCCCCACCACCACCCCTTTCCCATGATGTTCCTTTTTTTCACCCCGCGCTCCCATATTGTTTGGCGCAGGCATCACCATTGCCTCAGCCGCCACCTACACGACGTGGAAGGACCATAACATCAACATTATCGATACCCCCGGTCACGTTGACTTTACCATCGAGGTCGAGCGTGCGTTGCGCGTGCTTGACGGCGCCGTCTTGGTGCTCTGCTCCGTTGGTGGCGTTCAGAGCCAGACTCTTACCGTTGACCGTCAGATGAAGCGGTACGACAGACAGTCGCTGCCAAGCCCGCCTAGCTGCCAGAGGTGGCAAGAGAGGGTCGTGGCATCTTAACACGCAATTTTCCTTCCCTTTCCTTGAATGGCCTTGCAGCTACAAGGTGCCCTGCATCGGTTTTGTGAACAAGTGCGATCGCCCCGGTGCCAACCCGGCTCGTGTGACCAACCAACTTCGGTGAGTACCCTATCCTCCCCCATCGTTTGGAAAGATTCGCTTGTCAGCGCACCTGCCCAGCTCAACATGCTTTTCCGTGTACAGCCAAAAGTTGCGACACAATGCCGCTATGGTCCAGTTGCCCATTGGACTCGAGGATCGTATGGAGGGTGTTGTGGATCTTATCACGAATGAAGCCGTCTACTTTCAGGGCCAGCAAGGGTTAGCCTCATGCTTGCCCGGCATGTCAACCGTACCACACGTGTCCAGTGCTGAGTGCTTCGTCTCATCCCCCGTGTCACTGTCGGTCCCCATAGCATGCAGGTCGTGCGCACTGAAATTCCGGCCAACATGTCTGAGGAGGTGGCCGCCAAGCGTGAAGAACTGATTGGCCACCTGGCCGACGTCAATGAGGAGATTGCCGATCTCTTCTTGATGGGCGAGGAGCCATCCCCTGAGCAGCTGAAGCAGGCCATCCGTGACGCCGTGCTGGCCCGCTCCTTCACTCCTGTATTTGTTGGCACGGCGCTCAAAAACCTTGGTAGGTACCGCCAAGCTGCCGCCATCCCTCTACCACATTTTTGCAGGTGGCTAACTTTTGCCTTCAACTGCCACCCACAGGTGTGCAAACGCTGTTGGATGGCGTCCTCGAGTATTTGCCTGCCCCCAATGAGGTTGAAAGCTATGCCTTGGATACGAACGACGCTGAAAAGAAGGTGCCCATCAATATGGGCAACAGCGAGGCCCCCTTCTTGGGCTTGGCCTTTAAGCTTGAGCAGGGCCAGTTTGGCCAGTTGACCTATCTCCGTACCTACCAAGGTGCGTTGTTGTTTTTTAGCCCGTCATGGGGGGCCTCCCATCCAATATAGCTCGCCGACAGAAGCCTGATGCCGGCGCTGCCACGCTTGCAGGTGTCCTGCGCAAGGGTGACTTTATCTACAATGCTCGCACCGACAAGAAGGTCAAGGTCCCACGCCTCGTACGCATGCACTCAGCCTCAATGGAGGACGTTAACGAGGTCTGTTTGTCTTTTGCAAGAACGACTGCGAATGTGTTTATTGCCCGACCTTGTTTGTGCACGATTGCGTTTGGGCTGCCAGTCGCACTCATAAACTACCTTTTTGGGGTCCTTTTTTTTTTTTTTTTCTTCGCCCTCAGGTCCATGCGGGCGAGATTTGCGCCATGTTCGGCCTTGACTGCTCATCGGGTGATACGTTTACGGATGGATCGACTTCCCTGACCATGGAGTCCATGTTCGTGCCCAACCCGGTCATCTCGCTCTCCATCAAGCCCAAGAATTCGACAGACCTTGCTTCGTTCAGCAAAGCGCTCAACCGCTTCCAACGCCAGGTCCGGAGGCTGGTCGCCATGCCTTTGTTTGTATCACGCCATCAATCAAGGGATTCAAAGACATGCTTGCCGATTAGAACTTCTCACCTTTTTTTTTTTTTTTTTTTTTTTTTTTTTTTTTTTTTTTTTTTTTTTTTTTTTTTATAACAGGACCCAACCTTCCGCGTGCACCTGGACCCGGAAAGCAAGGAAACCATCTCAGCGGCATGGGTGAACTTCATCTTGAGGTACGATTGTCTGGTGTACGTGCGGCAGCTGGATTGTGCAAACGTGCAACTCATGGTTTGCATGCCGTATGACACCACAGATTTACAAGGAAATCATGGAGCGCGAGTACAATTGCCCAACCATCACCGGCAAGCCCAAGGTGGCTTTCCGGGAGACCATGACAGCCCCCATGAAGTACGTTGTCGACACACTAGCCCTGCCTACCTCAGCCCAGGCCGTCCGATTTTCGGGTCACAAACTGTTCAACTCAAGTACCATTGGTGTGACAATCGCCCCGCCTTCGGCCCAGGTTCGATTACATTCACAAGAAGCAGTCTGGTGGTGCAGGCCAATACGGTCGTGTGCAGGGCGAGATTGTGCCCCTTGATGGCGATGAGGCCGCTGATGTCATCTTTGAGGACGAAACTGTCGGCCAAAACATTCCCAAGAACTTTATTCCTGCCATTGAGAAGGTACGAGCTCTTTCCGATTTTTTTACGCACAGGGGTGCTCCTTTTCACCAGGCTCAAACAGGCCCCTTCTGACCATGCGACTCGGGAGGGGTTGTTGTTGTGCTGTTTATCTGGGTGTTTTCTTTTTTTTCTTTGTTCTTTTTTTAACTTCTTTTTCTTCTTTTAACTTCTTTTTCTTCTTTTCCTTCTAGGGCTTCCGTGAGGCCTGCGAGAAGGGCCCGCTTACTGGATCTCCCATCCAAGGCATCAAGTTTATCCTCAAGGATGGCAATGCGCATGCCGTCGACTCGAACGACATGGCCTTTACCATGGCTGGTATTGGCGCCGTCCGCCAGGGTACGTCCTGCCCGTCACCTGATTGTGTACCGTGGCTTGGCTCGTCTTGTGCTCTTTGCCCCTTTCTTGGTCTAGATCTATCTGACTAATCCTTCTTCAAATGCGTGGTCTTGCAGCTTTCCAAAAGGGCTCGCCAGTCGTGCTGCAACCCATCATGCAGGTTGAAATTGTGGTGCCAGATGAGTTCCAGGGTACTGTGATCGGCGGCATCAACAAGCGTCGTGGTACCATCATGGACAGTGAAACCTCCGAGGGCAGCACCGTGATCAAGGCGGAGGTCCCCTTGAACGACATGTTTGGATACAGCTCAGAGCTTCGGGCCCAGACCCAGGGCAAGGGCGAGTTTGCGATGGAATACACTCGCCACGAGTTGGTCCTGCCGCAAGTGCAGAAGGAGCTCATGGAGGAGTATGAGAAGTCTCTCAAACAATAGGTTGCTCACCAAAATGTCAGCTGGAGATGAGGCTGTGACTGAGAGCTGACCGTGCAGAGCACCGCCAAGCATGGCCCTGGTCGCCATGGAGAACACGATTGGATCCTGTCGTCTGCGCTGAGGCATCCTTCGATTCTCTTCTAACCATTCTTTTTTCTATGTTTTCCTTTCCTGTTTTTTTTTTTTTTTTGCTTTTTTCGTTCCACCTTTGTTCTCCCGACGCTTGGTTTGCAGCGGCCCATCCGCCGCTGAGAGGCACCCAATTCACCCTTGACAATTCTTCAACTTTGTTCTTGACACAGCCACGATGGCATGAGAACATTCGGCAGTCCACTCGAAGTTTGACCGCGCTCAGTCAAGTCGTCATGGGAGTTTCAGCTTTCTGTCAGGCTATTGACCGCACAAACATTCGCCTTTGGGTTGACATGCATGGAAGTGGTGAAACGCGCTGTCGCTTGTGAAAGTAAATTGACGACAACTTGATGTCGGAATGCGACTGCCCAGGTTTGCAGTGCCTTTTTGGTTATTTTTTTTTATTTTTTTATTTTTTTTTTTACATCAGTCAGATGTTAGGAATATCTACATGTTAACATGTGCAGCATGAGGCTACCCAAGCCGAATGAACACAAAGGAGGTTGAAGGTTGATCGTTCATTCTGTCTCTTGAAAAGCCTGCTTTTTTGATTCGCAGCACGGTGTGACCACAAACCACGGACCATCAAGCATCAGATGCAAAAATCGATTTTCAAGCAAATCAGGAGTTACAATTCATCGAAAAGCGGTTCATTGCTGGAGTTTTTGCCAAGCAGCCAGACCAGGGCCCGTGGCTAGGAAGCTATGCCATTCGGGAAGAGGAAGCTGTTGACTTCGGGGCACTGCTCCGGTGCGACCTCGAAGGAGAAATAAAAGATCGAAAATGGGTTTATGCAAAGCCCCGATTCGATCGCCAGCTGGGTTTCGGGCCCACAAGTATAGGGCCGTGACCAAGATTGCAAGCGTGCGAATCTCATCTGCAGCCACAAAGCATCGCAACAATGTGTGAAAAGGCGCAAGAACCTGCCGATCGAGCACGCATGGGGTGCCCAGAACTTACCTGTGGTCATACTAGGCGCCGATTTGAAGCTGGTCTGTGCAAATTGCAGAAGCAGTCGACGTCGCGTTTCCTTGATCGCATCTGAGCCACAGCAGAACGCTTGTACCAGCTGCTGAGCGGCCGTCCAACACTGTTGGACTGGCGTGATGCGACACAAGTAGCCCCAAGAATCTTGCAAGATTGTCTCGTTGTCAGAGGGGCTGGCCTTGTCCCTGTTTTTTTCCCACGGGGCAAGTGGCTTGGGGTCAACCTCGATCAAGTTCAGACGCTTCCCCACCACGCCTGTCACTGTGCGCACGCCGTCCATGTGGGCACATGTGGTTGCCAGTCGCTCCAATGTTGCATGATCTAGTCGCCAGACCCAGATCCACACGCATTCGCATCAAACAGTCAGCAATGATGCAGACCATGGCAGCAGCAGCAACAGCCATCCGCCACCAGCCAACCGGTACGTGAACACAGATGCCAAGTGAGTGAAGAAAAGCAGAAGCCTGCTCACGCGCCAACACACCTGGTGCCGGAACCTGGGTCACTTCATCCTTGTAATTTTGCTTGCGAATTGTGAAGACGCTGCCATGCATTTCCGAGGTAAATCCATGTGCCTCAAGCATGGCAGTCAATGTTTCTCCTGAGGTAAACGACGAGATAGCGAATTTTGAGTTTTTTTGGGGCTGGCTCAGGGGTTGTGGGCAAAAGTTAGCTCGGCATTGTGCACGGATTCTATTCGTACCAGGGCTATGGCAGAGCCACTCGGCGATGGTGGCAACAGGCAGCTTAACATTGGGGCTGCCGTAGGCATGGGCAAGAATCCCTATTGTGTGAAGGCGCAGTTGCTCTACGCCTGACATGGCCGCCCCTTGCAAAAGGGGATGCAGCGTTCTGTAGGACAATGGGAGCCAAAGGTGAGGCGTGTGGCGAATACATCGGAGGCAATCGCACACATGGACTGACTTTAAAACGCGACTGGCGGCCACGTAGTTGTGCAGCGACCAAGCTCGCAGGAGCTAGGTGAAACAAAAACATACAAATAAAAAAAACAGGAAGGAAAATAGGTGAGCGGTGTAGTGTGGTAAAAGGAAGAGCTCTCTCATCGGCCTGACAAACCCACTAACCTGCCGGGCAGACTGGAAGAAGGGTTGCTGCCGCACGCTGGCATGGAGCAGCAAGGCTTTGTTAATAGCTACGGGTTGATCTGCCAGCAGTACAGACATACATACGGACAAATTTGGTTTACGAGGAAAAAAAAAAAAAAAAGAACGAGCGTTTTTATCAGCAGTCACCGCCCTGGCCTGGCCGTACCATGAGCGAGGAGAATCCACGCAGCTTGGTGAAATGCCTCGGCCATCAAGGCCGGGGAGTTGGCGTGTGGGGCAGCCACCACCTTGCGCGGGGACAGGGGTGTGACATCGGGCAAGCCCAGCTTCTCGCGCCGTCGTGTGTACAGCGGAAGCAGCAACGTATAACACTGCATTTGCAAACCGGGTTCCCCATGGTGAGAGTGAGGCTGTTCAGAGGCTCGAGGCTGACGAGGTGGCAAGGGCTGGGGGATCTGCGCATGCATCACCACATGCCTCTTTGAGCTGGCCCATGTGGAGGGTAGGATCGAGGTGGTCGATGGAAGCGCGGTGCAAGCTAGATGTCACAAGAGGAGGTGCTGCGCATTAACGGAGGGCAATGACTTTGCTAGCTAGCGATTGGATTGCAGTGCAGTGTCATGTTCACATACAGGACTGAAGCGGCCAGAAGAACGCGAATGTTAATCTCCAAAATCGGAATGGCATCGCTTAGAAGAAGGCGCTGTACATGCGGCATTGGTCCGTGCGTGAACCGAGAGGGGAAGGAGGAAGATGCGTTGAGAAAAAGGAGCAAGGGCGTAAGGTGAGGGTGAGGTGTGAATGTCGGCGAGCATGAAATTTGCTGCTCAGTCGAGTTGAGGATCAGAGTATCCACGGACCTGGATCATGAGGTCTTGACGCACGGCTCGAAAGCGATCAACCAAAAAGGGATAGGCAGCGGTAAAGGCACGCCGATCGTTCAGGCGATCGTGGGCTAGTGTGGCAAGGTAGTTGGCGGTGTCATGAAGGACTGGCAGCGGCCGCAACTCAAGGGTTGCGGCCATGCTTTTGTCTGGGTTGGCATCGCGTGGAGATGCAGGTGGCGTGAGCTCACGAATGATAATGAGCATGCTGGCGTGGCAAAGACGGGGTCATACCGGCTGCGGGTCGACTGTACTCCTTGACAGTCCGGGCAGGGTCAGCGCGAGGCTCCCTCCCCTTGTGAGATGGACAGACTTCCAATGGATGAAGCCGATGCTGCAGCTGGCGCCTTTACATTTTGATTTCAAGATGAGTGGGAGCTTGAAAATAGACGGGTGGTGTCTGAGGGCGTCGATCGTACCGTAGCATCTCTTCGGCAGGACACATGGTGGTGCAGCGTCCACAAACTGGCGCATGGCTGTCTGCTCGCTTTGCGGCCGCCTGCTGTCTCCGATCCGCCTGCAGCTCTCGCTGCAGTGACCTAGATCAACATAAAGCACACCCTCTTTGAATAAATTACATGACAATACCCGGCCATCATCCGTTCCATCAGTGCCACTTACTTGAGCTGCGCCTCCAGATCATTCTTCTTGTTGCCCGCCGCCATTTCACCGGCGAGCACACACACACACGTCGCGTCGCGTCGAATCGAAATTCGAAAAATTTTGCGTCAAAATATCTGACATAAACGTCTGACATCAAAGCTCCCTTGTTCCTCTTTGCTGTGCTGTTTATCCTCTTCGCTCTCTCTGTGATATCAAAGAGTCTGACAATTCGTGCAGTTTTTTCATACAGCCAAAAGGTACGACGTGACAATGGTCCGGCTCAAAGGGCAGCGGTCGTGGTAAGGCTGGGAGCTGAAAGCTGGTGGCTGGGGGCTGGGGGCTGGTTGAGGAATGCAAGGGTGGGGTGGGGTTGAGGGATGTGGGCATGAATGTAGGTGGTGATGTGGGCGAGTGGAGCTGCGCTCATTTCGTGGTCTGGTGACCTTTTTCTTTTTTGTATTCATCCGCGAGTAGCTGTGTGACGTTGCTATTGCGAACCGGGATCATGGCCAAACGGTTCACCGTCGTTGGGGATAATGCGCGCCGCGTCATCATCTCTGCCAACCCCAATGACACTGTGTTTGTCGTACGTGGTGAAGCTGGCCCTGGGCTGTCACGACACGGCTTGAGCTGCATCGAATGAGGCCATCGGCTTTCACTGCCTTGGTGTCACCCTGTTGCCCATTGCAGATGGTCAAGGCAGCGTGTAGCAAGCTGGGCGTGGAACCTGATGGACGAACGCTGCGTCATCACAAGACAGAGCTGAGTCTTGACGCAGTCTTGCGCCATACAACGCTGCCCAACCAAGCCACACTTGAGCTTGTACAGCTGACTGGCAACAAGGCTGGTCCTGCGCCAGGTGAGACCGTTCCGTCGTTCCGTCAAACTCGCAGCACGCTTTGCGCCTTGAACGACCTTGAACTGCTCCCCATCGGCTCAAGCACGGCCTCACTGCGTTGTATTCTAGTGCAATTGGCCGTTCAATTGGAGAACCGGCAGCGTCTCAAGCTTGACGTAGACAATTCGCTCACGCTGCGGACCATCGTGGACCTTGTGCAGGAACACCACCCAGCCCCCGCCGATGGCAGCCCAGTGTTTCGCTACCTTCGGCGCGAGCTGGCAGGCCCAGAGCTGGCGCTTACGCTTCAAGAGGTGGGCATTGCCGGCCGTGCTCTGATCAGTCTAAATTACGCCTCTCCAGCGGCTGCGACCAGTGAGGCAAGCTCGGCCGCCACCCCAACATCGGTCGACCCACCGCCAGCGGTAGCTACGCAACGCCCTGAAGCGGAGCAGACAAGCAGCGTCACATCTGATACTCCAGATACTACTCGAGTGCCCATCACCCAGGCCACATCAAGCTCTCACATCGCGCCAACCTCTTTGGTTCCCACCCCGGCCGCGACCTCAACCTCAACCATTACGCCAACCGCCCCAACACCCGCCACAGCCCACAATCCACCGTCCACCCCGGCAATTGAGCCAGAGCCGACTGCTTCGGGGGATGCCATACCCGCACCCACTTCAAAACCCGTGGTCGGTCGCCATTTCGTGCCCTCCAAACGCTACATTCCAGAGGGCTTGCAGTTGGACGGCAGCCTAGCCCCGCACGCCGATCCTCGCTCTACCACCTCGGCCCCAACCGCAGCAACAACCAATAACCCTGCTTCTGCAGCTTTGGCGGACACCAACTCAACGGTGCAGAGTCCCAAGCCTGTGCCCAATTCGGAGGTTTGTACTCAGCGCTTTCACGCCTGAACCTCCACCCACCGCTCACTGCTCACCGCTCACCGTGGTGTTGCGTGTTGTGTGTGGCACGGATTGCACAGCCCACATCAACCCACTCCACACCAACCCCCACGCCCGTGCCTGCGATTGGGCGACAGCCCATCGTGTTTCGATTTTCAGACCGTATGCCAAGTACGAAAAATATGCTCTTGCCGCCATTGGATGACGTGTGACTTCTGAACCTATGTGGAATATTGTTTTGACGAATCTGCCTGTGATTTTCCTGAAAACAGCCTTTGAGGTGCCAGAGCAAGACCTGGAAGTGACTTCTGCTGACGTGCGCGTCATGCACCAGCAAGCCATCCAGCAAGCTCAGGCGTAAGATTGAGCTCCCGACCCAGCAAACCGTGTAGCGTCGCAGTGGAGGTTCCGAGTCTTTCTCACAAATCATTTATGCAACGCGCAGGGTGTTGGATCGACCCCTCATGACCAAAGCGATGCGGGATAAGGAGAAACTGCGGCGTGCAAATCGCTATGAGTTTGCTATTCTGCGCATCTGCTTTCCAGACAAAGCCGTCCTGCAAGGTTGCTTTAACCTGCAGGTGAGGTTGTGCTTTTGTGTGCTCACGTTTGCATGGAGCGTACCCTGAGCCTCGACTTCGCTGGCCTTAATTTATTTCGTGTTCTCACCACTGGTGGACTGCGACCGACGGACGCCAGGAAACGGTCGAGCATGTCTCGACTTTCGTACGTGAGCATCTCGCCGACCCCACCGTCGACTTTCAGCTCTATACCACTCCACCGAAAACCATTCTAAATCCTCAAGCAACTTTGCTCTCGCTCCAGCTGTTCCCCTTTGCCGTTGTCCGCATTGGTGAGATCTGAATCTGGTTTGCACACTCAGGAAGGGCCCTCTTCTCTGTTCTCTGCCCCCCTATTTTTTGTGTGTTCTCATGCGCCTGGTTGGCTCCAATAACAGCGTCTGAGACGCCTTTGACACTAGCAGCAGCGGCTGATGCACCCGAATGGCACGAGTTGGAACAACAATTGCAGGGATTGCAGTTGCAAGCCTTGAAACGGGCAGCGCCGACCGTGCGGCCAGTGAAAGCCGCATCGACCGCCCCACCGCGTTCCGCTGCTGAGCAGCAAGAACGCGCTCGCAACAAACAATCCATGCTTTTGAAGCACCTAAGTATGTTATTGGCAGTCTTGCATCCGCGCGCATGCTTGTGTGGGTGATTGTGTCAGAACGAAGCGTGCGAGTCGTCAAGAGTTCGATTGTTTGAGTTGGTGCTGTGTGGTGCCAGTTTCCGTGCCGAGCGCTCAGCGCTTGGAGTGCGTATCTTGGCTACACGCCTGGTGCAGCATCATGGTGCGAGCTCACGTCCATGGGGCCCATGGCTGTGTTGAGTAGCCAAACGATAGACAAACGGCCTGCGTCATGGAACGGCTTCCCCGTGGAGGCCCTCAGGAGTTGGTAGCAGGCTTGGCCGCAGGCTTATCAATATTATCTCTATCATCATTGTCGTCGTCGTCGGAGAAGAAATCGGATGTATCTGAACCGTCCTCAGCGGGTTGAGTGTGGGCGCGTTGCAAGGCATCACGCAGTTGTCGAATCTCGTCATCGTAACTGCGCTCAACGCCGACACGCTGTGGTTGGGTGCCGGTGGCATAGAGACCGTTGCTTTGGCCCGCATCCCCCATCAGCGTTTTGACGGCGGCAATGAATTGAGCCTTGTTCTGATCAGCAGCCGTGGCGGTGTTGGTGATGGCGCTGCCAGCTGGGAATTGATCTGAGGGCACCGGTCCGCTGATCTTTGGGCCGCTGACCTGCGGCTGACTTTTGGTAGAACGGCGCCAGCCGGAAAGAGAGAATCGACGCTGTGGTTGTGTGGTAGGTTGGTAGCTGCTTACTGAGCCGGAGCGACCCGTTGGGGTAGCTGCTTGGGCCGCGGCTAAGGATGGGTCTGCAGCCTGTCACTCAAAAACAAATTCAAGAGCCGAAAATGAGACTTTTGGCTCAGGGTGTGGCATCAGGGTTTGATTGGAAGGGGGCGACCTGGGTCAAGCATTGGGCAGAAGAGGCGGGATGGTGGTGGTGGTGATGGTGAGTAACGCAATACTGCATATGGACGGGCTGCGTACCCGATCAGCCTCGGTGGCTGTGTGGGCCATCATCCGCTGCTCGGGAGCGCAGAGTACACAGAAATGAGCCTGGTTTAGAGAATGCAGCAGTTGAAGCGATGGCGGTGGACTTTGGGGATGCACTCACTGCGATGCCTTTGTGTTGTTCGGCGAGAAGGCGTAGCGAGTCCTGAGACAGGCGTTGGCGTGAATCGACGCGCACAAACAGCACAGCACGTGCACATGAACGAGGCAGCAGCGATGGTGCGTGCCTACTTCGGTAGTGCCTGGGGTCAGAGGCATGCCAATGGGCACAGCTGCAGTAAGACGGGCTGCCTTCTTCAAAGCAAGCATCCAGGTTGTGACCTCTGGTACCGAGTCGCCGTAGAGCTGCCGACACGAACAGGGCGTGAGGGACAGAGGGGCGGGAGGGGTCGTGTCAAGGCGAGCGGGCACTGGTGAGCTGGGGCTATGGCTTGTACGCACATGGTAGACGCGCTGGGGCATGACGAGGCCAAAACAGGTTTGGGGATCGATCTCAGGCCAGAGGCAATCGCACAAGGAGGCGGCGATGATGTGCGTGCAGGCGGTCAGGTCCAGCGTACCCAAAGACTTGCTGGCCGCCTCATCCCGAAAGTACCGCAACACGCCATGTCGATCAAGGGTAAACCATCGTCGCTTCCAGTTGCGAACTTTGGCACCTTCCTTGACCAAATAGCCCGAAGCCAAAGCTGCCGGCATCCCGCCAGTCCCGTACCCCTCCTTCAAAGCCCCCCGGGACAACCTCCAGCCTCTTCCCCCGAAGAAGCATCAACAACAACAACAACAACACGAAAAGCAGAAATGTGAGAGAGAGAGAGAGAGAGAGAGAGAGAGAGAGAGAGAGAGAGAGAGAGAGAGAGAGAGAGAGAGAACGAGAAGAGAGTTTTAGAGAGAGAGTTTTAGAGAGAGAGAGAGTTTTAGAGAGAGAGAGTTTTAGAGAGAGAGAGAGAGTTTTTAGAGAGAGTTATCCCAAAAAAGAGCGCGAGTTATTGGAGCTGGAGCTGGAGCTGGAGCTGGAGCTGGAGCTGCTGGGTTGACGCAATTGGATAGAGACGGTGGGCGGCAGGTGACCAGAGTGTTTAGTGCTTTGGGTGGCCAGAGACGGTGGCGGGACGGATCGAAGTGTCGAGCCGTGGCACGGCTGGGAGGATTCTGTACTTTGCATCATCATGGTATGCTGGTTCGGTTGCGCACTGGGGGAGGGTTGGAGCCTGCCCTGCCAGGCGGTCCTCACGCCCATTTCATTTTGACGCGCGGTGCGTCCATGGGTCAATGGATAGAGTAACCCCGCCCTTGCACCGGGGAGCAACCCGGCCCTGGATGCGGCTTTTGATGAGCTCCTTGCGTAAGACCTTGCCCTCTTGGCTTGCGGCCGCGAGCCGGCACACAAGTTGGTGATGACCCAACTCGACACACGCGCTGACCTTCGGCACACTGTGGTGGCAGGCGCTATCTGTTAAACGCCAAGCCCGAAGATCGAGAGGACATGATCCAACTGGGGTTTCTGATTGAGCGCGCCCATTGGCACTACATGGACTTTCTCCGCAAAATGGTCTGTTAAGCAGACTTGGACCTGTCTCGTCCTCTTTTCTCCTTCAAATTCTCACCCCTTTCATCCACACACACGCGCGCGCGCACGCATGCACACACAGGACCCGAATTTGCCAGATCTGGACTTGCGTACCATGTTCGAGCAGGTCATTCGGCGCTGGTCTCTCCTTCACGTTCATGTCGACCGAGCCGACGAAATTTTCAAAGGTTGGTCGCGCGAGCCGTGCTCCTCTCGTGTTGGGTCTGCTCAAAGGACGCCCTCTCCGTGTGTCACCGTCACAAACCTCACGTCTGAATCTGGTTAGCATACCGGCGATATCGCGCCACCGTGCCCGTGGCGGGGGCCATTCTTCTCAATCCGTCCCGGACCAAGGTTTGGGTCTTGTTCCCATGAACACCCTCCCGCCTCCCCCCCCCCTTTTTTTTTTTTTTTTTTTTTTTTTTTTTTTTTCGCCCCTGTCGTGCCTGCAGTGCGTCATGATCGAGAGCAGCGGTAAATTGGCTTTCCCCAAGGGCAAACGTAATCGGCGCGAAGAGCTGCGGGACTGTGCCATCCGGGAGGTGCGAGAGGAAATTGGTTACGACATTTCTGCCGCCCTCCAGGACACCGAGTTTATTCAGACCACGGAGAGCAACAACAAGGTCAGTCTTGTTTGCAGATATTACGTTTTGGCTCGGCGCAAGCTTTTTTTTTTTTGTCCTTGCAGCTCGATTTATGACGTGGAGCTCATCTTTTAGGTAACCCGCCTGTACTTGATCGACAATGTGCCCGAGGATACACCATTTGCGACCAACACCCGCGGCGAAGTCGAGGTGGGGAGCAGCAGAACCGCCCCACAATAGCGTGGCTGTGCGCCATACTCACAACTCGGCCTTGCTGCCTATTCGCAGGACATTGTATGGATTCCCGTCAAACAACTCGCGTCGCATAGGCGCACCACCCTCAAAGCCACCTTGATGGCGCCGTACGTCACCCATGTAAAGCATCTGCTCTGCAGTATGCATTCTCGCCAGCCTCACGCCCGCTCTTTTGCCCGATTTGATTGATGGTTACTCCCAGGTATGTCCTCAACTGGATCAAGGACAAGAAAAAGGGAGAGGATCCCATTGTGCGAATGATCAATGCGCGATCGCCCTTGGTTCACGTCCTGACAAAGCTCAATCTCGCCGAGCCCGAGGACAACGCCTATCGCATCACTATTGACAAGCCTGATGGCTGGGGTCGGGGCTGTCTGAGGAATCCGGCGGCGATTGACGCTAAAACTTCTTAGCCACATCCACCAACTGCTTGCATAACCAGTTGGCCCCGAGGGCCGTTGGGTCGTGCACTCTGCTAGCGATGACCGGCTCGGAATTGAAAACGCTTTTGTTTTTCAAGCACTCCCCACACAACCATTTGCACGACAGACAGACCGACAAGACCGACAAGACCGACAGACAGGGTCAGACAGAGACAGACAGAGACAGACAGAGAGACTTTGCAACAGAAAGAACGACAAAGCTTTTGTTGTTGTTGTTGTTGTTGTTGTTGTTGTTGTTGTTGTTGTTGTTGTTGTTGTTGTTGTTGTTGTTGTTGTTGTTGTTGTGTGTGTTTTGCTGATTTCGAACACACGCACACACACACACACACACACACTCACACACAGGGCGACCCAGTCTCAGCTGCCGCGACTCGGGTGAGGAGGGGGGATTTTGCGTGAGGAGCCTGGGTGGCTTGCGGTTGCGTTGGTTGGGGGCAAAGTGCTACATAAGAGCTGCGATTGCAGCATGATGGGATCAGCGCCTGCTTGGGTGTTGGTGCAAGTGCTGGTGCTGGGCCTTGTCAGCCGAGCATCGGCCAGTACAAGTAGGTCACCTCGTGCTTGAATCACGCTGTGCTGATGCTTCCTTCCTCTTACGGCTGACCAATGCTTGACTCTTGGATGTTGTTGGCGCATCTTCATAGCATCAGCCCAGCCTACTTACGCTGGAAATCTGAGCTTTGTACGTCATCATCACCTTCTTGCCCTGTCCGCAACAGCACATGTCTCACATGCAAGCCCACTCGGATGGTAGGTGGGCATGCCGCCGGGGTCCACCTCCAATTACTTTCGAGGCCACTTTGATCTGGAGTCTTCAGCGGCTGACACGCGGTTGCGCATCTGCTGCTTGGGCATTTGCGAGGCAAGCTAAAAAACACAGTCAGACCTTGCACAAAAAACCCAAACAATGTCAGGCTCACGAACCGACGCCGTCGCCTAGGTGTTTCTTGATGGTCAAGCGGTGACCACTGACGTCATTTTACAGGTCAGTTGAGGAGCGTCGTCATGTGGCATGTTCTACTCACATCCACCACCCCGACCCCGATCCTCGTGACACGCAATCGAAATGGGTGAAACCATCTCATACTTCCTTCCGAGTAGACGGGACAATACGACATTCGCTTCTATTGCGACACCTTTGACGTTGGGTCATTCTTGCAACCGGGCACGAGCCATGTCTTGGCTGTGGAGCTTGGCAGCTGGTGGATCGGGCTCAATTCGTCGTATTTTTTCTACCCACCGTTTGAGCTCCCGTTTGCCAGTCCCAGCTTTAATGCATCCTTGATCAGCAGCAAGGCCGTAGCCAGTTCTTCTCTGCGATGGAAGCAGGCCGCATTGGATCTGGTGAGCGACGATCTATTTCTTGGCGAGCAGCGGGATGGCCGCCATGCCCAGGTGGATTGGAACCAACCCAGGTTTGATGACAGCGACTGGGGCGTAGCGCTGGCACAAGAGCCACCCACGACAACAGCACTCGTCTTGGAACGTGCTATGCCCCGTGTCGTTAAGGGCAAACCCTTGGCGGTAGTCGGGTTCACATCACCGCAGGCCCACTCGTATGTGTGGGAGCTTGAGGCAAACGTTGGCGGCCGATGTGAGCTCGCCATCCCCGACGGAGCGGTCGCTGGTTCAGTCTTTGCGTTAACCCACGGTGAAAGCCTGGACCCTGCCACGGGCCAGGTCATTCAGTCTCCAGCCACGCCGGATCGACACACCAATCAACGCATTGTCGAGGCTACCCGTTACACAGCGGGCGGCCATACTGGGGAGACCTTCCGACCTCACTTGGTGTACTACGGCTTCAAGTACGTGCAGGTCAACACGGCTGCGAGCGGACTGACGACAAGCAGCCTACGATGTTGGCCCGTGCACACCAATCTGAGCACCATCGCCACCTTGGATGTACAGGCCAGCGATGCGGCGGTGCGACCTTTGCGGCAATTTCAATGCATGGGCCGCTTTACTGCTCGAGCCTTGGCTTGGCCTCACAGGAAACCTCGTTCTTTCCGTGCGCATCACAGGAAACCGAGGCAGCGCAGTCCGTCTACGCGGCCATGGTTCGGACGGCACTGTCCAACTTTCACGACGTTCCCACTGATTGTCCCACTCGCGAAAAGCGTGGATGGACCGGAGACATGAGTGCCGCCCACCAGGCCTTGCTGCATACTTTTGACATGGCACAGGTCTACCCCAAGTGGCTCACGGACGTGGCGGACGCACAGGCTCATCATGGCTTACCACAAGGGTACGATCATGCGCAGCTATTTATTCAGAGGCGAGGGTGCTTCGCTTTCGTGCATGTCACACAGAGTTGAGCTTGTCTGCGGCATAGATGCGTACCCGAAGTGGCACCGGCCTTCATGATTCCAGAAACGCAGCAATTCTCCGATCCGGCCTGGGGATCAGGCCTACCTCTCGTTCTTGCTTCTTTTGTGCGGTAAGGTGACAACCAATGTGGTTTGCTGGCCGAATCCAACTCTTCTCGGTCCTGACCAATGCATGTTCCCGCGTAGCTGGTACGATCGCGTGGATGTGGGCACCGCACTGCTGAACAACGTGTTGGCCTATGTGGATCACCTCGAATCCTATGCCACACCGTTGCCCACACCATACCCCAATGTCTCCACTCTCCGAGGTAAGCTTGGTCATTGAGCACGACGAGATCTGGCGCTCAATCAAACACTTGCGTGCACCATTGAGTCAAGAACGTGCGGCCCGACAGTCACGCACGCCACCCTCATTTTTGCCCACAACTAGCCAATTATCCCGGGAGTCGCTATGGAGATTGGTGCGCATATCCCGAGTTAAACAATGGAGTTCATGCTTATGTGAGCAGCATGGGCAACAGCTTCTTTCACCTTGAGACCTTGTCGGCAGCGGCCGAGTTGGCGGCGTGGGCAAACCATTCGCGAGCCTCCGCACTTTCGACTCGAGCCGCAGAGCTGCACGCCGCTTTTCATGCCACCTACTTCAACGCAACCTTGAATGCATACATGGACCCTTTCTGGAACAACAGCAACTTTATTAATCAACCCAATGGGCGGCTGCCCGTGCAGACAGCGCAGACGTTGGGCATAGCAGCACGACCACCGCGAGATCAAGGATTGGCCGCCTTGCAGGCTTTGGTCAACGATATTGAAGCGTTTCAGTATCGACCCACCGGAGGTTTGTTTTGATCAAGGTCTCAGCGAGGGAATCGCGGGCAACTGCGGGACAGGTGGCCTTGTCTTTGGCCATGTATTCGTTTGGATCTGGCGTACCTTTTTTTTTAAAATCATCCATACACGCGTCTGCGCGCGTTTGAATGCATTGTAGGGGTTGTTGGGACGTCTCGACTGTTTCAAGCTCTGGGCTGGGGGAATCGCAGTGATGTGGCCTGGGAGCTTTTGGTGAATCGCGCACCGCCCTCTTGGGCCAACATGAGTTTGACGGTTGGTGGTTTGGTTTTGCCGCCGCCTTCCATCATGCACTTGATTGTCACTTTGTGCTCTCATCATTTTTGGCCCGCTGGCTCAACCCCCCTCCCCCCTTTTGTGTTTCCGCTCCGGGTAGACGGGTTCGTTATGGGAAAATTGGGATGGGAGTGGCAGTCGTAACCACATTATGTTTGGCGGGTTTGGCGCTTGGTACATCCAGTCTCTGGCTGGGCTGCAGCAAGCGCCGGGGGACAGAGGATGGCAGCGCTGCCGCGTGGCAGCAGCCTATTTGACCAAAGTGACTAGTGTCAACGCAACGCTGCTCGTACCAACGGGTGTATTCCGCTCGCAGTGGACTGCCACGGCGCCAGGTACCGTGATGCATACAGTTGCAGTTCCATCAGGTGCGACTGCCGACCTGGAGCTGAGCCTGGCGCAACGTGGGCAACGTGTGGTGCAAGTATGGCTCGGCACGACCTGCGTGTGGTGCAATGAAACGTTTGTGCCTGCTGGGGGCCTGGTCAACGGCTGGCGCGACCTCTTTGGAACCGTCACGCTTTCCACCCAGCCCAGCTTCAAGGGCACCCTCCGCATTTCATCCACCATCACGGCCTGAAGCTGCTTTTGCGTCAGTCATTTGATATGTATTCTTTCTCTCAAGTCGATGTACAATTCCTTCACACATCCCAGTCTCGGTCTTTCCGACGGTGTGCGGATGCAGCTCTAGAAGCAAAGGAAGAGGGAGGGCAAAGGCACGAGCGGAAAGCAAGCCATGGAAGGCCAAGCGTTTGTCAAGCTTACAAGCAGTTGTGTGTAATAATTTGACCGTTACACACACTACACAAAGAGTTTCTTTTGCTTTTTGTTCTTATCCACACACACACACACACACACACACACACACACACACACACACACACACACACACACACACACACACACACACACACACACACACACACACACACACACACACACACACACACACACACACACACACACACACACACACACACACACACACACACACACACACACACACACACGTTTTTTATTTTTTGCGGCGGTGAGCGGGTGTGAGAGAGAGACAGCATCGAGCTGTTGTTGGCTCCGTGCAGAGAGCATTGGGCAGGAATTATTGGTGGTGGCAGGGGTTGGCTCGGGTAGTGGGCACGGTCGGCATCAGATGCAATGGCGGATTTCGGGAACTTGATCAAGCGGGTCAGCAACTGCGCCACACAGTTGAACCAGAGCACCGCGGCGACCTGCGAGAACTTTGAGCTGACCACCGAGGGTCTGGCCGACATCGGCTGGGCGGATGTGATGCCGAGTGACGTGGTAGGTCTCAAATATAATCCCCAGGCTGATGAAAATCTGAGCAGCGTGCGCCAAGCTTTCATGTTGGTGCTTGGCCTGATCCTTTTTTGTCGCACAGGCACAGCAAATGTTGGAGGCGCTCCAGGCGCAGGACCAGGAGCAGGCCCTGCTTGAACAGTATGCTCAGGCCATGAAAGCAATACAGAATGGCTCTTATGGGCAGCCCGACATTGTGCGTGCCCTCCTTCTCGGTCGCGGTCATTTGCTGCGCGTGGCCACAAGGGAGGCCTCACGGTTGCAGAGCCTGTCTAGTTGGATCTCAACCTATCGCCTGCGGACCTTGGGTGAGAAATGACAGTCCAATAGTACCGCCTTACTTGACGAGGCCTTGCGAAACACGCCTCTGCGGGCCACCAAGACGTTTGCAGGCACGGCTCTGGGCAAAGCGGTGCGTGTCTGTCTTCTGCCCGATCAAAGGGCCGCGCTACATCCTGTAGCGCCTGCTTCATCCTGTAGCGCCTGCTTCATCCTGTAGCGCCTGCTTCATCTTCACCTGGTACCTCCGAATCTGGACGAATCTTTTAGGCTATGGTAGCAGACATGGGTGAGAGCGACGACATTGACATTGAAGTGGCTGGCGTAAGTTTTGCAGGCGTAACCAGATTGAGCAGGCATACGTGGCTCACGGGACCATGTTGCTCGTTTTTGTAGGGGAAAAAGTCGATCGAGTGTCCTTTGACGCGCAAAATCTTTGTCAACCCCGTGCGAAGGTTAGCATGACTTTGAAGAGCATGGTTTGCCATCGCAGTGGGTTGTGCTCCTCACTTCTTCATGCTTAAATATGCGTCGCATGGGGTGCCATGTGCACAATCTTCGGTGACGGTCGTCGTTTTTTTTTTTTTTTTTTTTTTTTTTTTTTTAGCAAAGTGTGTGGTCACACGTTTGAGAATGGCCCGCTGCTGAAGCAACATTTGAGTCGGAATGGCAAATGCCCTGTTGTCGGTGAGCTCGCCCTTTTTTTTTTTTGAAAGGGGCAACTCCTTTCCTTGGTCATCTATTGCCAGCCCTCATGCTGTCCGGTCTGATTTTTATGTTGTTGTTTAGGCTGCCAACATAGTCATGTGCGACAGAAGGCAAGCGACTTTGAGGCCGACAAGACAATGTCGCGTTTGGTGAAGCGTCATTTGCGGATCCAGGTGAGCTGTCGGCTCGAGGTTTTGTAGGCCGACGGCTGGGCCGGAGAAAAGTTTGCGCCCCAACACGTGTCGCTGGTGCTCAACCATTGTTTCCCTGCGCCGTTGTAGGAAGAGACGCTGGATGATTCAGCCATGGACGACGCTCAGATCGTGGCCTAAGTGGAAGGCGATCCCACTCTGTGGCATGTTTGTTGACTTTTAGTACGAAAGAAGCCGTTCTCGTCGAAGGAAGAGATCCGACCTCAACGCAGCGCGCATAATAGAAACACACACGAAAAAAAAAAAAAAAAAAAAAAAAAAAAAAAAATACCAAGAGGCGAACAACCCCCTTGAAGGATTTGAGCTCTCAGATTAGCCTTTTGTTCACTTCAGAGAAGACGCGGGGCCGCAGCAAGAGGCGCGGAATGGATCGCGCCAACAAGCAGCGGGTCCACTAAGGTCCTCACTCAGCTTCGCCTTGGTATCATCACAGAGCAGACAGTATGCATCATACTGCCGGTTGACTTTGAGAGGATGTGCAGCAGCATGTGTATCTGCGAGGAGTGGCATGGCCATATGAAAGGAGCCGCCAGAGCGAACACCAATCAAAATGCGGATTGGGTCAAAGAGGGCTTGGCGCGCTTGATGCGGTTGTGGTACGGCTGACGAAACTCGGCGCAACAAGACGGCAGGGCGCAAGGCAGAGAGAGGGGGATTTGAGCGGGTGGGTTGTCCCATGCTCAGATTGAAAACTTTTGCAAGGTCATCGCCAGGGATAAACAAGCCGACCGGTGTCCCAGAGTCGACCCAATCTTCCCCCAAACCCAGCGCTGCAAGGCCGCGGATACCCCAAGGCACCGGGCAAGCTGCGCAGGATTTGGATTCAAAAGGGCACGACCAAAAACACCATGTGGGCAGCTCTCCCGGCTCGTCCTTTCAGTCACATTCGGTCTTCATAGCGATATCCCACCCGCCCACCACTCTCCGCGCCCCCACCATCCGTGCCCGCCATTCACAAGTTTCTACAGCGCCCCACCAGCACCACCAACAGCGCAGCCCTGCACTACCCCCAGACCTGCCACTGCCACTGCGCCACGCACACACACACACTTCCACACACACATGCAAAGCAACTGTCGTTCTCTCTCTCTCTCTCTCTCTCTCTCTCTCTCTCTCTCTCTCTCTCTCTCTCTCTCTCTCTCTCTCTCTCTCTCTCTCTCTCTCTCTCTCTCTCGTCTCTCTCTCTCTCTCTCGTCTCTCTCGTCTCTCTCTCTGTCTCTCTGTCTCTCTCTGTCTCTCTCTGTCTCTGTCTCTGTCTCTGTCTCTCTCTCTCTCTCTCTCTCTCTCTCTCTCTCTCT